ATTATTTGCAGAAAATTCGTAAATTAAAAATGTTTACTATAATTTAAATTAGTGACTGACTTTTTGCATTTGGATTAGTAAATTTTAATAATAAATTGTTATGAAATACTAATAAATTAGTAGAAATTATTATTTAATTAGTAAAATTTATTAACTCAAAAGCAAAAAGTCGCTCACTAATTTAAATTAGTAAACATTTTTACTAATTGAAATTAGTAAATTTTACTAATAAATTGTTATAAAATACTAATAATTTAGTAGAAATTATTATTTAATTAGTAAAATTAACTAATTTCAATTAGTAAAAATGTTTACTAATTTCAATTAGTAAACAAATTAGTATAAAATAGTAGTATAACATAAATAAGTTTTATTATTTATGAAAATAATAAATAAAAATAATAAAACAAAAAAATTTGTAAAAATATAAATTCATAACTGTTTTGAAGAAAATTTAAATTCGTACGAGGAATTTAATTAAGACTGTAATGACAAAAATTTAATTCTTCTAAAGAGTTTATGACAATTTAAAAAAAAAAATGAATTTTATAAACAAATTTTTTTTATTTTAGTTTCAAATTGGTTATTTATGAAAATAATTGAATTCTTTCGAAGAATTTTTAAAAAAATATTTTAAAATAATTTAATTTTTTCCTAAAGTTTTATTAAAATTTTTTTAAGTAATAATATTCTCCGAAGACATTCAATTAAAATTTTATTAAACAAAATTAAAATTTTATAAACAAATTTTATCGAAATTATTCAAAATAATTAAATTCTTGTGAAGAATTTTATGAAAATATTAGAAAATAATTAAATTGTTACTATGAATTTTTTATTTATGAAAATAATTGAATTCTTTCGAAGAATTTTTTAAAAATAATTTAAAAAAATGTGATTCATTCCTAAAATTGTATTAAAATTTTTTTAAATACTCAAATTTCTTCGGAGACGTTGAATTAAAATTTTGTTGAGAAAAATTAAATTCTTATAAACCAATTTTATCAAAATTACTCAAAATAATTGAATTCTTCTGAAGAATTTTATGAAAATATTAGAATATAATTAAATTGTTACTATGAATTTTTTATTTATGAAAATAATTGTATTCTCTCAAAACAATTTTTAAAAATATTTGAAAATATTGAATATTGAAGTGTTACAAAGAATTTTATTAATTATGAAGATAATTGAATTCTTTCGAAGAATTTTTTTTTAACATTTGAAAATAATTGAATTCTTTCTCAAATTTTATTGAAATTTTTTTAAATAATCAAAATTATCCCAAAGTTCTTCGGAGACATTGAATTAAAATTTTATTGAGTTTAATTTTAATGAAATTAAAATAATAAAAAATAATTTTATTAAATTAAAATGTTTACTAATTGAAATTATTAAACATTTTTACTTATTAAATTTATTAAATTTTACTAATAAACAATAATTTCTACAAACTTATTAGTAAAATTGACGAATTAAAATGCAAAAATTTAGTCACAAATTCAATTTATTTGAAAAAAACTATATTTATTCATATTATTTCCTCTTTTGTAGTTTTGTTGTTAAATCTCAAATTATTTATAATTGCATCAATTTACTGCCATAAAAAGCAATCTGGCGCATTTCAATTTTTTTAACTTCATTTTCAAGCACAGAAATTATATGATAAATAAATATTTTTAAAAAATTTCGTTTACTAAAATAAAAATATATTTTCTCAAAAAAAAAAAATTATTTAATAAACAATTTTTATCAAGTAAATTATAATAACTAAGTTTATTTATTAGGAAATATTTGTGACGCTCTCCGAAGAGAGAAATAATTATTTAAAAATAACTTTTATTTAATTATTTCGCTGAAAAACAAGATTTTACAACTTTTAAACTTAATTTATTCAAATAAATAATGATAATTAGATATTCGAATATTTTGTTTACTAAATCAAATATTAAATTGAATATTATATTAAAAATATAGTAATAATTTTCCAAACAAATAATTTTTTAATAACAATTTTTATTTGTTAGATTATAATTATTAAATCAAATTACTTCTATAAAGTTCATGATGCTCTTAAAATTTGAATTAATGAAAATGTTTATTAATTTAAACTTGTGACTAACTTTTTGTTTTTCAATTAGTAAATTTTACTAATAAATAGTCATTTCTACTAATTTATTAGTAAAATTTACTAATTTAAGTTTACTAGTAAATTAGTAGAAATTACTATTAATTAGTAAAAAAATAAATAAATTAGTAGAAATTACTATTAATTAGTAGAAATTACTATTTGGTAGTAAAATTTACTAATTCAAAAGCAAAAAGTCAGTCACTAATTTAAATCAGTAAACATTTTTACTAATTTTAATTTTGAGAGCGGATCGGAATTTAATAATTAATAAAATTAGTCGAACAAATAAAATGTAGAATTTTATTAATTTAACACATAAATTTGAAGATACGTTCCAATAAAAAAGTTGATTGAGATTATACTGTAACGTACGTTAAAACGTAGGTACTTGAGGTTGAAAATGTCTGGTTTTGTTTGTTAGAAACTTGTGGCACTTGTGACAGGCGTGAAACCAACTTGAATGAGTTTCAGTATTGCACAAGATTCCCTTTTGTTTACACAGAGGATATAGAATTTTTCACTAAAAGTAAATGTTTAAATAAAACAATGAAAATAAGTAAATAACGAAAAAAAAATATTATTCTAAACTGAAGTACAATTGCATTTCACTTGCTTTCCGGAATATCCACTCTTTTCTTTACATAAACATATTGATAGAAAATATTTGAAAAATCACTTTTCAATAACTTCTATTTAAAAAACTTTTAAGAATATATTTAAAAATATTTAGTTATCTTAAAAAAATTTTAATATTTCAAAAGAACTAATTTTAATAAAAATTTTAGTATTATAATAAAACTAATTTTACACTGAAAAAAAAAATTTATTTGATTCAAATAACAGGTTACTTGACTATTATCAATTAAATATTTACTTGAATCAAATAATTTTTATTTGAGTCAATTAAATGATTTTTGAATCAATAATTTCAGTATTTGAAGCAAATATGAATTGAACCATTTAATTGACTCTATAATAAATATTATTTGATTCAATTGAATATTTAATTGATAATAGTCAAGTAATCGGTTATTTGAATCAAATAAATTTTTTTTCAGTGTAAGAATGTTTGGCCGATAGAAATATTTTTTTAAAATATTCCCACTATGCAATATAAATTAAAAACAAAATTAAATAAAATAATTTTTTTTTAGTGTAAATATGTTTTACCGAAAGAAATATATTTTTTAAAAAATTTTCGACTGCAATACAAATCAAAAACAATATAAAATAATCAGAATCCTTATAATTTATAATTCTTTGTTACGTGACGCAAAATTATTGTAATAAAATATGAATCTGAAAAAGAAATAAATAAAATTCGTTTATTTAAGCGTTCAAAAATTTAGGATCATAAATTCTATAAAAAGTTTCGTTGTCTTTTAAAAAATAATTTTAACTTCAATTTAAATTTAAAAAAAAAATTATTGCACTCGCAAAAATCCCACAATTTATCATTTGGTACATGAACCAATGTGTATTAAAAAGCTTGCACGCAAAGCTTACCGCGTAAACTTCCTGTGAAAAAATATTGTCCTGTGTGTGCTATCTGCACACGATGATGGTTATTAAACGAACTTACTTACAGTTTCATTATTACAGACGAATAAACTTTAATTTTACATATACGATATAAAATACGCGGGGGAAAATATATAAACAGTTTGAAAATTTTGTTACTTGGCAAAATGCACCAACTGTGTAATGTAAAACGAATATTAATTTCATGGTAATTTAAATTCTAATTACCAACCAATTAGCTCTTCTCCTAATGAAGCATGAGTTTTGTCTCAAAAATAACATTCGTTAGCAAATTAAAGAAATATTATATAGGTACATGTTTTTATTTCAAAAATTCAATTTCAGAAATCAATTTCACATTTTTTATTTTTCAAATCTGTAAATGAAATCGCAGAAGCGAGGAGCGATTTATATAGAGAAGGATTTAAAAATACAATTTTTGAAGTGATCCACAAGTTACGAACGTTTTCAAATGAACTTTCGTTCGTCATTTTTCCTTAAAAGTAAGTGAAAATAATTTTCAAAGATTAAATAAAATATTAAATAAATATTAAATAAATATTAAATTAAAAATAAAAAGTAAAAAATTAAATTCAACACTTGAGAAGTTAAAATTTTTTTCCATATTGAGGCAAAAAATTATTATAATCAAAATTTGATTTGAAGAAAAAGGAAATAAATTTCATTCATTTGAACACTCGGAGCTTTAGAATTGTATTTTTAAATAAAAAGAAGAATTATTTTCTAAATGTTTTAAATAATATAGAAAAAACAAAGTCTGAAACCGGTTACATCTCAAAACTAAAATGATTGAAAAATAGACTATTTTTAAGCTGAAAACTAGATTAAGAAAATTTTATGACTTAAAATAATACTCTCTCAAGGCTAAGATTTAGTTAAAAATGTTTCTAATGTAAACGGTTTTAGTCAAAAAGTGACTGAAAGTAAGATTTATTTTTTACAGTGAAAAGAAAGAAATTGGTTTCTAAATATAAAAATTTAAACAATTATTTTTAATTGCTAAAAGTTTTTGAATTTGAAGAAAATCAATAGTAATAGTCTCGGATTATCTAAATCCGGATTTTGCGAGTTGAACATAATACTGAACATCGTTAAGGAAGATCAAAATAATAAACAGAAGATACCGCCAATTTTCTTCGACATAACAAAAGAACACATTTTTTGATTAATAAGAGAAAATAAAAAATTATTACTTGTTTAACTTTATCTTTTTTGGATTTAAAACATTTGTTTTAATTATCTTTCTCAATTAGGTTTTAAATTGTTTTCTAATAAAGAAAAAAAAATTGGATTTAAAAAGAGAATTAAAAAATCCAAAAATACTTACATATGATGCTAATGATAATTAATGTTCTCGTTCGAAAGATGCACTAAATTATATTTTGGGGGGGGAAGGTTTTTTTTTTTATAATACCAATACTTGTTTATTAATGAAGAATTGAGACTCGACTTTTTAGGGGATGAAGTGTGAGATATGAACTGCTCGAAAAGCAGCGTGCTACTGACTAAAAAGCAAGAACCACCCTGACTAAAGCTAGAATTCACCCCATTGGTCGATATTTGCGCAGCCACGTGGTGAAATCACACACTATGACAGAATAACTATTTTCTTTTCGACGTTCTCCTTTTCTTTCTCTACTTTAAACATGCTACTTTTTGTATTTAAAGGAAAGAAATTTTTATTCTCCTGGACCAAAGTTTCTTTCCCTCCCTCCCCCCCCTCTCTCTCTCTCTCCGTCCCTCTTTTTCTCTCTGGCTCTCTATCACGATAGTACGGAATATTTCCTTCACATTCCTGGAATATTTCATTGGAATATTAGGAATAGAAAAAATATTGCATTGGAACATTAGGAATATTCCAAAAAAATATCCCATTGAAATATTAGGAATATTAAAAAAAAATTGCATTTGAACATTAGGAATATTCCAAAGTAATATCTCATTGGAATATTGGGAATATTCTATTAAAAAATTGTGAATATTCCTTCGGAATATTCTGTTGGGACATTATGAATATTCCTTTGGAACATTCCTTTGGAATGTTCAATTGGAATATTCTATTGGAACATGATAAATATTCTATTAGAACATTATAAATATTCCAGTGGAATATTGTGAATATTCCATTGGAATATTCTGTTGGGACATTATGAATATTCCTTTAGAATGTTCAATTGGAACATTGTGAATCTTCCTTTGGAATATTTAATTCGTATTTTAGAAATATTTAACTGTCCGACCTTTGGAATATGTCATTGGAATAATGTAGAAATATTCTATCAGAATATTATGGGAATATTCTATTGGAATATTGTTAAAAATAATATTTTCTCAGTATTATCAGTATTATCGATGATAAACGAATTAATTTTCGTGCGATTTAAATAAACTCTAGTAGCATGGAATATTCTATTTGCATTCCTGAAATATTTTACTGGAGCATTGGGAATATTAGGGAAAAATATTACATTCTTATTTTAGAAATATTATATAAATTAATATAACAGAGTATGAAAAATTTTAATAATTCAAATTCTTCTGAAATTAGTAAAAATTTCTAATATGTATTTAATTAATTATTAAAAATAATGGATTTGTAGAAGAACTTTAGTTAAAAAATACTAAAAAAATTAATTTTGCAGAAGTTAGAATAATGATTGCAGAAATTCAATTATGTTCAAAAATTTTTTTTTTAAATTCTCGTCAAAATTTCAATTATTTTTATAAATAATAAAATTCTTCGCAGAAATTCAATTATTGTTCAAAAAATTTAAAAATATTCTCGTCAAAATTTCAATTATCTTTATAAATAATAAAATTCTTCCTCGAAAATCAATTATTTTCAAAAATTCTAATAATAATTTTTGGAAAATTTTAATTATTTTCAAATTTTTTTCTCTTTTCTCTGCAATAATGGAATTATTTTCATAAATAGGGGAGAGTCTCCAGTTGTGAGACACCTCCAGTTGTGAGACAGTCAATTTTTTTTAACATGCAATATTAAAAAGCCGATTGGTTTATATAAAAACATTTCTTTTTATATGAGCCAACTATTTCGTGTACGCCGAAGCGGATATATAAACTGTTTTTGTTAAATACCAACACTGTGTGTGATAATCGACTAAAAAGCGTTTTTTCAATAAATGCAAAGTACTTTTCTTCCAAGTTAATTAATTGGAAAAGGTAAATGTAATGCATTTTCTTTTAGTGTTTTCCTTATATTTTGTGATGCAATATTGCATTGTTCCAATCTACGGTTAAAAATAATTTAATTTTCCTTTTTCAAAATAGCTCCAATTTCTGGGTGTGAGACACAGCATATCACCAGTTGTGAGACGGTGTCAACACCCATCTGGGCAGCATAAAAAATACGACTTTGCAGGCATACTATTTAAATGTTGTTTTGATCTTTTTTCTAGTATTTTTGGGCATGTCAAGTGGAAAAAAGTCAATTGATTCAGAAGAAATCAATTTTAATGCTCTTGTTGAAGCTATTAAATTGTATTTTTTTGATAGTATTTTGGCGAATAAATATTATTATTTAGTGTATAATAATATATATTATTAATATATTTGATTATTTCTACTAAACATAACGTTTTATGTCAAACTTACTAAATTTTAGCAATTTTTAATGAGTGTCTCACAACTGGAGACATTTTTTTTTTTTGAAAAAAGCGATGTGCTCGGAAAATGTATCGTAAAATTTTTTGAGTTCATCGAAACACTATACTTTCTTTTAATAAAAGTTGCGTATTTCTGTTACCTTTCGAACGGTGTATTTTATTTACAATTTCGTTTACCCGTTTACAATTTACGGGTCAAAAATAAAACCCGTCTCACAACTGGAGACTCTCCCCTAATAAATTTTTTTAACGTATTTTGATACAATTTTTTAAACTAATGACATTTTTCAAAGAATTTAATTATTTTCATAAATAATTAAACTTATCGCAGAATTTCAATTATTTTCAAAAGTAAGTACTAAAATTCCAAGCAGAAATTCAATTACGTTCAAAAATTTTTTTAAACTCTTGTCAAAATTTCAATTATTTTCAAAAAATTTTCTTCTTTATTCTCAATAATGCAATTATTTTCGTAAATAATAAATTTTTTACAGTGATTCAATTATTTTCAGAATTAATAATATTATTTTTAGAAATTGAATTATTTTCATAAATAATAAACCTCATCGCACATTTTTCAATTATTTTCAATACAATTTTAATTGAACTCCTCAAAAAATATAAAAATATCTTTTAAAAATTTCATTAAAATTCGTCGAAAGAATTCAATTATTTAAAAATTTGTTAATAAAATTCTTTATTAGAATTCGATTTTAAGAAATGTTCAATTATTCAACAAATTATATATTTTCTATATTTAAATAATTGAATTCTCGTAAAATGTTCTAATAAAAATTGATTTAATTATGAATTTCAGTTAAAAATTTAATATTACAAGCACTATAGCCTGAATTTTTAGAAATAATTGAATTTTGTAAAAGTTTAATTGAATATTTTTTTTTTGAAATTATTTTAAGTTTTTACTTTCTGAATATTAGAAATTTTCTAGGAACTTTTGCAAAAATTATTAAAAATAATTGATAATTGTCTTTTAAATAATTGAATTTCTCAGAAGAATTTTATTATTTATAAAAATAATTAAATTCTTGCAAGGAATTTTATTACACTTTTTTGAAAATAATTGAATTCTTTTGAGAAATTTTATTAAAATAGTAGATTTTGAAAATATTTGAATTTCAGCAAAAAATTTCATTATTTGTGAAGGATTTTTTAAAAATAATTGAATTCTTTTTAGAAATGACATAATATTCCACTGGAATATTCTAACATTATTCCAAAAGGACATTCCAAAGATGGATTATTCAAATATTTATAAAATTTGGATAGAATATTCCTAAAGTGGGTAGAAAATATTCCTTTCGAATATTCCTGAAATGTGGATTTAATATTGTTTTGGAATATTTTTAATGCTATAATAAACAAAATATTCCTCTGAAATATTCCAAAAGGTGGATAAAAGATTCCTCTGAAATATTCTAAAATGTGGCTAAAATATTCCTTTGGAATATCACTAAAGTACAGATGGAATATTTTTTTTAACATTCCCAATGTTTTAATGAAATATATTAAGGAATATGAAAGAAATATTCCGAGTGCTATATTGGGTTAGAGAGCTCTCTCTCTCTCTCTCTCCTTTAATAATAATTGATGCTTTGAAATTGAAAAATAATTCAGTTAACTATAATTTTTTTTTTCAAGATATATTTTGTGTATATAGCACTATATCGCATTAAGTCACGTTCAAATTCTCATCATCGTATCTCCATCTGCAAATCAAAATAGTCCAGATTCAATTAACTTGGGTCCAGTTAATTTACATTTTACTCCGATTCAACATGCGGTACAATTTCAATTGTCTAAATTTAATCCTTATTTATGCCTGAGAATAGGTACAGTTATACATATATATTTCTCTATCATTAATTTGGATTATTGTTAGAATGTTAATTTCTTCTTAAATTACACTTCTCTAATTCGCCTCTGATATTTAGCCGCATGTTTTACTGTAATTCGAATTTAATTCACTGAATTTTCACATTAGTTCTGAAAATCTGTCGGCCTCACTGCAAATCCTGCAAATTATTACTATTATTAATTATTATTATTTTAAAAAGATTTAAAGTTTTCTTTTCGAAGAAAAAAAACTTGTAAAAAATGGTTATTATGAAAATTCTTTGAATTTAGACAAATTTTTAAAGTTAAAAATAAAAATGTCTTTCCATGTTAGGCACTTCTTATTTTTTTAGCTTCTTTATTTTTATTTATTCTTTATTTTAAGTATACTTCTTTATTTTTTTCTATAAGAAAGGGAAAATCGTAAATAATTTGAAATTTCATTAAATTTTTATTAAATTCATTCATCAAATTTCATTAAATTCATTCTCTAAAAAAAAGAAAGAGAAAATCGTAATTAAATTCCTGCGAATTTCTTCATTATTTACGAAAATAATTGAATTATTTCGAGAAATTTTATTTAAATTGCATTGAATAATATTGAATACGTGATAATAATTTTATTAATCACGAAAATAATTCAATTCTTGAGAAAAATTTTATTAAAATTCAAAAAATCAAATTATTACGAAGAATTTTATGTTAATTTTTAAAAATCATTGAAATTTTTCGAGAAATTTCACTAAAATTTCATTAAAATAATATAAAAAATAATAGATTATTTATCATAATAAAATTTTCAAATTTTCAGAATAATTGAATTTATACGAAAAATTTTATCTAATTTTTTAAAACAATTAAATTCCTGTGAAGAATTTTATTGTTTATGAAAATAAATTGAATTCTTGCAAAGAATTTTTTTTTTATAAAAAAAATTGAAATTTTATTGTTTATGAAATTAATTCAATTCTTGCAAAGAAATTTTATTAACATTTTTCAGAATAATTGAATTTTTTCGAGAAATTTCATTAAAATTGCTTTAAAATAATTGAATTTTTATACGAAAAAATTCAGAATTTTTAAAAATAATTGAATTTATACGAAAAATTTTAATAAATTTTTTTAAGTAATTAAATTTGTGTAAAAAATTTTATTGTTTATGAAAATAATTCAATTCTTGCAAAGAAATTTTATTAAAATTTTTCAGAATAATTGAATTTTTTCGAGAAATTTCATTAAAATAATTGAATTTTTATAAGAAAAATTCAAAAAATTTGAAAATAATTTAATTTATACGAAAAATTTTATTAAATTTTTTAGAGTAATTAAATTTCTCTGAAGAATTTTATTATTTATGAAAGAAATTGAATTCTTGCAAAAAATATTTTTTTTTATAAAAATAATTGAAATTTTATTGTTTATGAAAATATTTCAATTCTTGCAAAGAAATTTTATTAAAATTTTTAAGAATAATTGAATTTTTTCAAGAAAGTTCATTAAAATTGCATTAAAATAAGTGTTTTTTTATAAGAAAAATTCAAAATTTTTTTTAATAATTGAATTCTTGCAAAGAATTATTTTCTTTGATTTTTTCTTTGAAAGAGAAAACAGAAAATCGTAAATAATTTGAAATTTCATTTATAATGAAATTTCAAATGTCAAATTATTTACGATTTTCTGTTTTCTCTTTCAAATAAAAAATCTTCGATTCTTTCATTAAAGTGCAAAAAATTTAAGTACCTCAAATAATTGCTTTACTATAAGAATTGGAAAACTCGTTAATTTACTGCGTTCTTGAGGAAAGAAATAAGAAAAAGTGAAAAAAAATCTAAGTAAAAAATTTAAGTACTTGAAATAATTCTTATGTTAAGAATTTGAAAACTTTTAAACTACTTTTTCTTGTGGAGAAGGAAAATAAGAAAAAGAAAAAAGTAAATGAAAAGCTCTATTTGAGTGCACACTAGTGTTGTAGTGTTTAATAAAAATAAACTCTTGATACACTCTTCAATCTTTATTGCATTCAGATATACATATATAGGTATATTAAAAGGTCCAAGTTTATTAAGGTTAATTTAGGAACTAAATTTAGTGCATTCAATTTCAAGCTAAAGAATTTTAGACCAATGTAAAGGTATAAGTTTAATATCGATTTCTAGAGTTCTCAATTTTACCTTTCAATATTTCACAGGTATACCGGGAATATATATTCTAAGAATTCTTTTATGTTTTGTCACTTTTGAATATCGAAATTCAAATCGAAATTTAATATATATAGATAAGCATTTACATTCTTCAATAAATGATGTCCATTTCCCGTTTCTCACAAATCGTACAAGAATTTTTATGATTTCCGTTTTACAAGAAAACAGGATTTTTCTTTTCAATTTTCAATATTCCGATAATTGAAATTTTTGCTTTTAGATGGAAATTTTTTTAAAAAATTCGCAGTTATGTAAATCGAATAAAGAAGAGAGGACATTTTTATTCTTTAAGCTAAAATTTAATTTTTTTATTATCAATATTTTTATTATTAATTTATTATTTATTGTATTATTACATTTATTATTATAATATTATTATTATTAATTATATTTACTACTACTATCAAATATTACGAGGAAAAGCGGCAATCAATTTATTATTAAGCAAATTAAAAAATTTTTGTATATTATTTAAATATAAAGTTTAGTTTTTGAATAATTTCAAATTCAAAATATTTAAAAATCCACTTCTCAACTAATTAACTAATTCATCATTATTATTTATTATTACTCTAAGAAATTTTAATAAAATTCTTCGCAAGAGTTTAATTATTTCATAAACAATATTAAATTCTTTAAAGGAATTTAATTATTTTCATCAATATTTTGATAAAATTTCTCGAAAGAATTAAATTATTTACAATAGAATTTTAATTAAATTCCTCAAAAAAATTTTATGATTTTCAAAATATAATTATCCTTGAAATTCTCAAATAAATTGAATTATTTTCAAAAATTGTAATAAAATTTTTTGCACGAATTAAATTATTTTCATAGAAAATAAAATTTTTGCAAAAATTGAATAATTTTTATAAAAAATAAAATTCTTCACTGAAATTGAATTATTTTCGTAAATAAAGTATTTTCGTAATCAAAGTAATTCTTTGAAATTTTGTAGGAAAATTAAATTTTTTATACAATTTTAATAAAATTTCTCGAAAGAATTAACTTATTTTTAAAAATCATGATAAAATTCTTCAAAAAAATTAATTTTTTTAAATTTTATTAAAACTTTTTTGCAATTCAATTATTTAATTTAATTATTTTTAGTAAAATTAAGATTAAATTCCTTAAATAAATTTTATGATTTTTAATGCAATTATCATTAAAAATTTTAATAAAGTTTTTTACAAAAATTGAATTATTTGAAAAGAAAAATTGAATTGAAATAATTGAATTATTTTCATAAACAAAGTAATTCTTTCAAAGAATTTAATTATTCTCAAAAACAATAAAAATTCTTAACATAAATTTTAATTTTTTATAAGAATTTAATAAAACTTTTCGTATAAATTCAATTATTTTAAAAAAATTTTCAATTTTTCTTTAAAAAATTCAATTATTCAATGCAATTTAAATAAAATTTCTCGAAAAAATTCAATTATTCTGAAAATTTTTAATAAAATTTCTTCACTGGAATTCAATTATTTTCATAAACAATAAAATTCTTTAGAGAAAAATTTAATTATTTTCAAAAATTTTGATTTTTTCTTATAAAAATTCAATTATTTTAAAGCAATTCTAATGAAATTTCTCGAAAAAATTCCATTATTCTGAAAAATTTGAATAAAATTTCTTTGCAAAAATCTAATTATTTTCATAAACAATAAATTTCCAATTACTTTTATAAACAAAAAAATTCTTTGCAAGAATTCAATTATTTTCATAAACAATAAAATTCTCCACAGAAATTTAATTGTCTGAAAAAATTTGATAAAACTTTTCGTATATATCTTTTTATGATATCTTATATTATTTTTTATATTATTTTAATGCAATTTTAGTGAAATTTCTCGAAAAATTTCAATTATTTTTAAAAATGAAGATAAAATTCTTCAAAACAATTCGATTTTTTGAATTTTAATAAAATTTTTCGCAAGAATTGAATTATTTTCGTGAATTTATAAAATGTTTACCAGGTATTCAATTATTCAATGCAATTTAAATAAAATTTCTCGAAATAATTCAATTATTTTTGTAAATAATGAAGAAATTCGCAGGAATTTAATTATTTTCAACTCAATTGCAATAAAATGTCTTTGCAGAATTCAATTTTTTTTCAATGGTAATAAAATTCTTTAAATGAATTTAATTATTGTCAATAACTTTAATAGAATTTTTTTTAATAAATCAATTATTTTTACAATTTTTAATTAAATTCTTCGAAAGAATTTAATTGTTTTTAAAAATTTAAATAAAATTCTTCGTACCTAGTTTAATTATTATCTTAAAAATAGAAACTCTTTGCAGGAATTATTTGAATACAATTTTAATAAAATTTCTAGAAATAGTTTAAATATTTTCAAAAATTTTAATAACATTTTTCGTACTGAGTTTAATTATTTTCTTAAAAATAGAAAATCTTCGCAGGAAGATTTATTTTAAATTTTTATTTTATTTATTTTTATTTTATTTATTTTATTATTTTAAATTTTCTAAATTTACTTGAATTTTAAAATTTACTTAAAATTTACTTGAATTTTAAAATTTACTTAAAATTTACTTAATAGTGGAATAAATAATAGAAGATAAAGAAGTTTGTGAATGTTGCAAAAATAGTATCGCAAAACATATTTTTTAAATCTGAATTAATAAATATTTAAAGTTTAAACTAATTAAAACAAAAAGTGATATAAAAATGTCTCAAAATAAATTTTTCTATTGTTCAAAGATCAAGACAATGAAAATTAAAATAAATTTAATTAAATTAAAAAATAAATATATAAGATTAATCCTAAAAATTATTTTTCCTTCAATAATTTATTAGTAATTAATTTTCATTATTTTTAGTGTAAATTTTTCTACATTTGAAGTAAATTTAAAAATTACCTGCATATTATAATTAAAAATTAATTTTTATTTTAATTTTTATTCTTTTAATCCAAAATTAAAATTATTCCAAGGTAAAAATTATGAAAATGATTATAAATTATAATTGACGATGATTTTATATACTATTTTTTCATTATTGCAATTTTTACGTAACTTGAAAAGAAATATCAGCATAAAACAGAAAATGGAAGTTGCTTTTTAATCTAAAAAGTGCCCTTCCTCTTTCGGAGTTAATTGGAGAATTTTCTACTCAAGTGCAGATACATGGAGCATTTCCCAAACATGATGTAGTAAATTAGCAGCTTTTAGTTAACGACCAATAAGCAAAATGTATGAGAACTATATATATACATAGGCTTATATTGACTAACAGGAAATTCAGAATTCAACTAGTGTTCACCATTAAATCGATATACATATAGAATTCTGCTCCACTCAGGCAAATATCAACTATTATAATTGTTCTCCATTGTGTCATTCACAACCCAAGGGATATGTAACGGGGCAAAATATATATATTTATCGAAATTTTGTAAAAATTAATGTTACTTTATTTTTAATTTTTTATACAATATTTTGAATAATGTACATGCGTATAAATTATAAAATTAGTTTCGATCACGACCCAGTAGGAGACGCAATATCCAATCTCGCTCTGAAAATTGATTCTCGTCTAATTTTTCTGAATTTGTGTCCAATTCGTTGGCGGACGTATTTTTCAAATAATTAAAGTCGTTCTGTAAAGAAATCAATTTAATATTATTTTTCATATTTATGATTTTAATATTATTTTGATATTTTAATATTATCTTAATATTTATCATTTTAATAGTATTTCGATAGTTTAATATTATTTTTAAATTCGAAAAAAAGAATTCAAATATTTTTATAAAAAAGTAAAATTCCTCTCAGGAATTGAATTATTTTTAAACGTTTTCTTATTAATTGTTTTGTTTGCTATACGAATTCAATTATTTTCAATATAAATTTAAGTAAATTTCTCCAAAAAATTTAATTATTTTTAATACAATTTTAATAAAATTCAATCATCGAATAGAAATTCTTTGTAAGAATTGAATTATTTCCATAAAAAGTATAATTCTTTGTAATAATTGAATTATTTCTATAAAAAGTATAATTCTTTGTAAGAATTGAATTATTTTCATAGAAAATAAAATTCTTCACTGGAATTTAATTATTTTCGCAATTAAAGTATTTTCGTAAACAAAATAATTCTTCAAAATTTTGTATGAAGATTTAATTTTTTATACAATTTTAATCAAATTTCTCGAAAGAATTCACTTATTTTTAAAAATCAGGATAAAATTCTTTTAAAAAATTAATTTTTTAAAAATTTTATTAAAACTTTTCGCAATAATTATATTATTTTTGTGAATAATAAAATTCTTAGCAGAAATAATTGCATTATTTAACAGAATTTTAATATTTCTCGAAAGAATTCAATTATTTTCAGTAAAATTATAATTAAATTCCTGAAATAAATTTTATGATTTTCAATACAATTATCATTAAAATTTTAATAAACTTTTTTTTACAAAAATTGAATTATTTTCATAGAAAATAAAGTTCTTCACTGGAATTCAATTATTTTCATAAACATAGTAATTCTTTCAAAGAATTCAATTATTCTCAAAAACAAATTAAATTCTTAATAGAAATTTTATTATTTTAAAGAATTTAATAAAACTTTTTGTACAAATTCAATTATTTTCAAAAATTTTGAATTTTTGTTATGAAAATTCAATTTTAGTGAAGTTTCTCGAATGATTTCAATTATTTTTAAAAATTAAGATAAAATTCATCGAAACAATTCGATTGTTTTCAATTTTAATAAAATTTTTCGCAAGAATTAAATTATTTTCTTGATTAATAAAATTTTTACCAACGTATTCAATTATTCAATTCAATTTAAATAATCTCGAATTAATTCAATTATTTTTGTAAAAAAATAAAGAAAGTCTCCATAATATTCAATTATTTTAAAAATTTTCAATTAAAATTATTAAAGAAACTGCATTATTTTAAAAAAAAATTCGAAGAAATTTTTTAGAAGAATTTAAATAGAATTTTTTTTAAAATTTTAATAAAATTCTTCGCAAAAATTCAAATATTTTCATAAATAATAAAATTCTTCGAAGAAATTCATTTATTTTAATATTTTTTGATAAAATTCTTTGCAAGAATGCAATAATTTTTAATTCATTAATTTAAAAATTGAAAACATTTAGAAAGAAAAATTATTTAAAAAATTAGGAGACAGAAATAAAAATAAAGCAGACAAAAAAATTGCTGGAAAGTTGAAATTTAAAACTGAAATTTTTTCTATTAAGGAGCGCTAATTTTTTTATCATTATTCAAAATCTAAATTTATTCATTATTATTAAATTAATTATTATTCAATTTTTAAAAATTAAAAAAAATCATTATTATTAAATTAATAGAAAAAAAATGTTTTCGATAATTTTCGCAATTTAATTTTCTGGAAAAATTAAAATTTGTCAAAATAATTACGACTAATTGTTTAGAATCAAGAAAAATTCTGTTTCCACGAGGAAGCAATAAATAGAAAAAAACTTTTTATTTTCTCTTTTACCATCTTTCGTGACCGATTATACTCGTCATTATAAAATCGAGCACCATTTTTACGATATTGGGGAATCTCTTTTGTTCCATGAAGAATTAGAGTAAAATCCCCTAAAGTTCCATTATTTGTCGCTGGACCAGTCTGCATAAAACAAAATTTAGTTTATATAAATTTATACATATAATATATTATATTCTAAATTATAATACGAAAATTTATATCGCAAGTTAGATTTATCGTATATAATACCACTCTGCCAATTTTAATAATTTCTTATATATTACTTATGGGGTCAAATTTTAATTTCTCCTTAAGAATTTCGTGCAGTTAGTTATTCAATTAAGGGTGAAAAAAAATATTGATAACTTTTCTGTGTTTACCACATCCAATATTTCAAGAAGCCAAACCCCGTGGGGATTTTCACCCCAAGTTGCTACCGACATGAATTTCCACTTTGTGAAACCATCAGATGATTTGTCTAGAGCTCTTGGATTCAGGATTTCTACCTTTGTACCTGTGAAATTAAATTAATTATCATTTTATTTAATTATTTTATTTTCGATACAGTAAATACTTTTAGACTTTCCACAAAGTTTTCTACGAACGAAAATCTCATTTTTGTTAAAATTCACTGTTTTTTCTTCATCTCAACAATTTTCTTCTATAAAAGTTTTTGTGGATATAATTTTGTTTGACAATAAACAGAATTAAAAATAGTAAAATTTAATTTCATTCAAAAAATATCGTAAAATCTAATAAAAATATTTTACAATTTTTCATTTCGAAAGATTTTGAATAAAAAACGAACATTTATGAAGGTTAAATTTTTAAAGACTCAACATTTTCGAACTCTAAATAAAAAAAACAAAAATAAAATAAAAAGAAATACAAAATACTTCAAAAAAAAAATAGAAATTCTAAGAATTTCTATTTTTTTGAGATTTTTTTGATAATTTTTGAAGATTTATTCTCAAAAACTGTAAAAAAATACAAAGTACTTCAAAAAAAAAAAAATTCTTTAGAATTTCTATTTTTTTGAAGTATTTTGTATTTTTTTACAGTTTTTGAGAATAACTCTCAAAAAATTATGATTTATAGATAAAATTTTAATTTTTGATTTATGGGCAATAAATTTTACAATTTTGAACGTGAAATAAATGATAAACAGTTCTTCGATCAGAATCTTTAATTATTGCATATAAATTAGAAATTTTTAAAAATTATTTTTATAGAATAAACAGAATGAACTGAATAAATAAATAATAAAACAGAAAAAAACAATAAAAATTAATTAAATTTTTGTAAAATAAATTTTGTCAAAATTGTAAATGAAAATTACTTTTTTAAAAATGCAAAATTCAGTTAAATTAAAAATAAGAAAATGAAATTTAATAAATTCTTTTAAATTAACAAAAATCAAAAAATGAAAATTTTGTGTAAAAATATTGTAATAATAAATATTAAAAAAAAAAATAATTTATGATTTTTTGTATTTCATTTTTATTTTTATCTCCTTTTCCCCTAAAGTCTTCGTGGTAAATTTTATTTACAATCATAATAACCATCGCTTTGAATGATTATTTTACTTAGAAAAAAATAAACAGATTCAAAAACCTACACAAAAACTGAATTCGTTAAAAAAAATACCAATTTTTGTAAATTTCAACTTTCCAAACAAAAATTATTTTTACTCATCTTGAGTAAAAATAAATCTTTAATAGAAAGCAGAAAATCTTAACTTCTGAATAAAATAAAGTAAAATAAACCTTAACTTCTAAATAAAATAAAAAAAATCGTAACTTCTAAAATAAATATTTTTTTAAATTAATATTAATCAAAAAGTCTAATAAACGAAAATAAATTTCAAATATATCGAAAATTCAAACAGTGAAGAATATTCAGTAAAAAAAATTTTTTATAAAGAAAATGTGCGTGCTCTTTTTATTGATTATATGTTAGTGGCAAAGTATGCGTGTGATAATAAAATTTTATGACACGTAATTACACAAGTTTTAGCGAAACAAAAAAACAAGAATGAATGTATTTTATAATAAATGACACTTTTACTGTGCAAAAAAGTGTCATACGTGTATAATATCTAAAATATTACTCTGCAACATAAAAGTTAATTTCCAATAAATTACAATTAAACTTTATCTTACAAGCATTTTTTTTTCTTTTATTATTGAATTCGCCACTTTATTTGTGACACATAATTTCGAGTATTTCAATCAAGTGGAATTTTAGTAAAAAATAAATGAAAATAAATTACAGTTTATTAAAAATTCCCTCTGGCTTGAATGACTGAAAAGTCACGCGGACAGAAATATTTTATTATATTTCTCAATGGAAAACACTGTTATGAATTTTCATTTATTTTCTTGTTTAAATTCTGTTTAACTTATTTCGATGATTTTTTATTGCATCATGATTTCAATTTTGCCAAGAGATTAAAGAAATAAATTATTAATTTTGTTTTTTGAAATTATTTTCTACTTACTCTCAAATAAATTGCGAAAAACTGTCAAGTTTATTTTATTTTATTTATTTATTTTTATAAATTGTCAAATTTTTGCCAAGAATCCAATCATTTTTGTAGATAATAAAATTTTTCTGAGGTAAATTAAATTGTTTCCAAATAAAATTTTAATAAAATTTCTATAGAAAAAAATTTAATTATATTTAAGATAATTTTAATGAAAATTTCTCTAACAGTTTCAATTATTATTTTTAAAAGTTGTAATAAAATTTTTCTAAACAATTTAGTTGTTCTGGAAAGTTTTTAATAAAATTCTTTGTAAATTTCAATTACTTTCAAACTTTTTAATTAATATTATTTTAAAAAATTACATTATTTTTTACGAAATTTAATGAAATTCTTTTTAAAAATGTAAAATTATTTACAAAAATTCTAATAAAATTGTTTAAAAGAATTTAATTTTCTATGAATATTTTTAATATAATTTAATAGAAAAATATTTAATTAAAATTAATAATAAACACGATTATTTTAAAAACTTAAAAGAAATAAATAAATCTTAAGGGCATTTGAACCATGATGACGTCACAGATTTAAAACTAATGCTTTGCACAAACTGTGACGTCATCAAGGTTCAAATCCCCTTAAATCTTAAAACTTCATAAGATTCATCAATTACTTTTAAAATTTTCAGTAAAAATTATTAAAAAAAAACTTTTCTATTTCCAGGAGAATTGAAATAAATTCTTCAAAACAATTCAACTATTTAAAAGAATTTTAATAAAAATCTTGCCAAGAATTAAATTATTTTCAATACAATTTTAATTACATTTTCTCGAAAGAATTTAATTATTGAAAAAAATGTTGATAAAATTCTTCAAAATGAATTTAATTATATTTTCAAATTCTTTTCTAAATATTTTACAAGAATTCTATGATTTTTAGTAAATCGACTACATTATTATTTCTGAAAATAAATTTTAAAAAATAATTAAATTTTTGAGAAGAATTTTATTAAAATTTTATTTGAAAAAATTGAATTTCTGTGAAAAATTTACTATGTATTGATGTTATTGAATTCTTTCGAAGAATTTAAAAAAAAATGTTTAAAAATAATTGAATTTTCCCTGGAATTCAATTTCAATTCGAGCGAAAATTTCATTATTTCTAAAAATAATTAAATTTTTCAATTGGATTTTATTAAAAGTTTTTTAAAAAATTGAAGTTCTGTGAAAAATTCAATTATTTTTTTTAAATAATTGAATTTTCTCGGATAATTTTTACTTGATTTTTAAAAATAATTGAAATTTTAAAAAATATTATTTTTGAAATGTAATTGAAAACAAATTGAATTTTATACGATGGTTTTTATTATTTATAAAATAACTAAAGAATTTTATTACAATTATTGAAAATAATTGAATTGTTCTAAAAATTCAATTCTTTTCAAATTTCCCCTAGAATTCAATTAAAAGTGTATTTAAAATAATTGAAATTCCAGCGAAAATTTCATGTTTTTTAAAATAATTGAAATCTGGAATTGCATTTTATTAAAAGTTTTTTAAATAATTGAACTTCTGTGCAATTGAATTCTAGCGCAAATTTTATTATTTCTAAAAATAATTGAAATTTGGAATTGGATTTTATTAAAAGTTTCTTAAATAATTGAACTTCTGTGAAAAATTCAATTATTTTGTTAAATAATTGAATATTTGTTCATTTTTTTTTTTTTTTTTTTGCTTTGAAAATTGAGAATGGCAAGTTTTGAAAATACGCACATCGATATCGAAGGGAAATTGCTTGAAATCAAATATATACCTGAAGGTGCTGTCAAATGCATTTGAAGAGAGCCACGAACGCTGTATTTCATGTTCGTATCAACTTGAATGTGTTCTAAGAAATCTATGTCCTCCTCAGAGCTAACACCTTCATTCATGTGAAATTTCAAAATTCTTGAGCTCCCGTAACTCAGACTTGAGTTATATCTAGAAAATATTCAAAAGTGGCGCACATACAGAAATGTTTTCAGAAACGAAGGCAAATATAAATATAAGTCAGGTGTTTTTTTTCTCTTATAAAAAATGCATATATATATATATAGGTGTTTGTGTGTATATGTGTGTGTGGTACGTGCACTTCAGAGGATAAATAAAAAATAACTTTAAAGTACAAGGGAAAATATTAAAAAAAGAAGAAAAAAATTTGTTTTAAGTAGTGACAAATTTTTTTTATTAAATGTATATCCTTTAATGTTTCAGGCGCGATAGGTACTTTAAGCTTCTAATGAGCTGACCTTTCTCTCAAAGGGTTATCATCTCCCAGGTGCGGTTATCGATTATTGGATGACTTTCCTGCGGAGTAATCTATAATGTCATTATTTAAATGCTTTTAAAACAATTTCTAAATTTCTTCCATAAGATATATTTATTTGATAATTTTAAACTTGTAATATAAAAATGTTTCACAAATTTTATTTTAATATTCGACTCGGAGTAATCGATATCTTCACGTTTTATAATAATTTAAATTTCCATAAAATTTTTCTAAAAAAAATTAAATTATTTACAAAGTAATTTTTTATAATATATATTAGGGGAACATAGTCTAGGTCGGCCACCTTTTTGACTTTTGTTTATAACTTTTTTTTAAAAATGAATTTGGACAATTGAAGTATATGGTTGGAAAGTCCTGTTTAATAGGAACATTTTTTCTGTACAAAGTAAATTGACAGGTTTAAAAATGAAAAAGTTATAAAGATTTAAAAAAAAAAAAATTTGTAGTCCAGGTTGGCCATTACAGTCAAGGTCGGCCATGTTTAAAATTCAAAGGGCATTAATCGTTAAAAAATAAAATAACATGTTTGGAGTTACGGAAAATTGATTCTTTATTGTTTACAGTTTGTAACTTAATGAAATAACAAAATAATAACAATAAACAATATAAAAAAATAAATATAAATAAAAAAAAGTTTTGCACTAAAATATTTATAAAATTAAATAAAAATATTAATAAGATGATCAATTATATTATGAGTTATACAGAATTGCAGTTTTTGCAAATGAAGTAGCTCGTCCTCAACTTTGCGCATTTTAAACACATAGTGGCCGACCTTGACAGTAAGTAACATTACCGAATTGTTGTAACCATAAAGAAATACGTTTCGGGATTCGATTTTTTACTTTGTTTTCCTTTCAACCATGAGTCCCACAAATTTTCTGCATACTTGCCTTGACGATTCAATTTGTTTTTTATCTTTTATTCATGGTTTTTCACATTATGCACAAAACTTTTTTTGAGCTTTTTTTGTACCGACGTCACAGAAAACACAATTTTCGATTTTCCGAAAATGTAATTGAACAAAAAGTTAGGTTTCACTAAGACAAGCTTCGACAAAAATGCGCGTAGGTGGCGCTAGTGAACTTGACAAAAAAACGCGAGTGGCCTACCTAGACAGTAGGCCAACCTTGACTACATTCCCCTATATTTATATTTTATTTATATTTACGATATATATGTATTTATATGAATATTCTAAAAATTTAATTTTCCTCGGTACTTTTAATAAAAATCCCTTACTTTTCTCTAACCAATTCTACTTTTTCTGACTTTTCCCTGATTTTCCTAACCTGTGGCAACCCTGTATCATATATTTTTAAAATAATTTTTTACTTTTTAGTTTAAACTATTTATTTTTCAGTTAAATAATCTTTAACGTTCGAGATATTTTACAAAATAAGGCAAATAAAATGAAAACATTCGGACAATGAAGAGAGTGATTCATTCGATCGACACGATATAAAAAACAATCGATATTTGTTTTTATAGGGTCATTTGGGGTAAATGTAAACAGTAGATGTTTCAGCTAAATTTACAAATTTAAAAATAAGTACGACGTCAATATTTTTACCTCAGCTCACCCACAAGATGTTCTGAGTATTGCCAATATTTTATTTTGACAATTGGCAATGCCATAGTGTAAGTTATTTTTTAATGCAAAAAAGATTGAAAATCAAAATTTTACTGTTTCAGTATTTTGTCTCGCATTTGCATAAAAATAAATTAAAAAATCAAACAAAAATATGTAATTCTTCTTTATTAATGCCCTAACAAAAATTGACTTTGATTTTTGATTTTCGTCAATTTACTTAGTAAATAATTAAGTGTTTACATTTACCCCGAGAATTCGAAAACTCGGGGTAAATGTAAACAGAACTTGAACTACATTTTAAAAGAAAATAATTGAATAAATTTGCTTCTATTTCACAATTTCATTAATTTGGCAATGTAAATATTACATAGAAAAGGAAATTAGGTCCTTTTTGAAAAAAAAAAATTTGATAAAAAAAAATTTTTTTTTTGAAAATTTGATCAATTTTTAAAAATATTTTTAGGTTCATCCGTCATTTTGAAAATTTAAAATTTGACTTGAAATTCGTATTCAGCGACCTCAAAAACCCCCTAGTTGCCAGATTCAAGCAAATTTGATCAATTTTTAAAAATATTATTTTTAGGTTCATCCGCCATATTGGATCTACCATTTTGAAATTTAAAAATTCGATTTTAGATTTTTATTCAGCAACCTTAAAAACTTCTTTTTACCAAGTTGAATGAAAATCTATTAAAATTTGTTCAAATTATTCAAGTTTTTACATTACTAATTTTGTAATGGTTGATTGTTTATTTTATATGATACATTATCAGTCAACTGGTTGATTTACTACACATCTACGAAGAATTTTTTTTCAGTTTTTCCATCCCTCAAAACAGTAGTATACTTGAAATAACTTGTTTCTTAAACCTCGCTTAACTACAGTGGTGTTTACATTTACCCCGAATTTTAGGAAAATTTCAAAATCTCGGGGTAAATGTAAACAGTCAGTTTTAGGCGATTCAGGTGCATCAATATTTCTTTGTACCTCATAAAATTTTTCTAGGGAACACTAGCAACAAGTTCATGCAAAAGAAATCCGTCCATTTTACCTTTTAACAAAAAAAACTAATGTTTTTGGTGAAACATAGATATTCCGTTTACATTTACCCCAATTGACCCTATTATGTCAAAAAAAAAAAAGTTTTGAGAATAAGTCTTTTTTATTTGCACATTATTTTTAAAATAATAAAAACAAAATTCTTGATCAAATACATTCAAATAAATAATAGTTCTTTTGATTAGAAGCTTGCTGATGTTTCATAGAAAAGTTTACTACATTTTTTAGATAATTTATACAATTTTATTTTTAATTAAAAATTCATAATAATTAATGTCTACTTAATTTAATAAAATTAAAACTCACATTTAGTTAACCTCCCTACGATTTAACCCCAGTATACTAGGGGAGTATCTTTTATTTATTTATTTAAAAAAATTTTATTGCAAAGTCATATATAAATAAAAGACCAAGAGTTACTTAAAACTAAAGAGTTGCATTTAATATCAAAGTAAAAATAAAATAGTCAAAATTAATTTTAACAAAATTATAAATATGTCTCCAGCAAAATTGAAAAATGATAAAATCGTAGGAGAGTAAATTGTATTTTAAATCAAATAGAATAAGAGATTCATTAAAAGGTAATTAAGTTTTTGTACATTAAAAGATAATTATCAATTTGTCAGTAAAATTATAGATTTTTTAAAATAATTGATTAATTAAAATTATAACAAATAATATAGTTTGCACAAAAAATAATTTTTCATCTTCTGCTGATTATCGGCTGTGGTTACTTTTTATGAATTGAGAATTAAATTAATTTTGATGACCCAGATATTAATTGGTATTGTTCTTGCCATAGTTTAGGAACAATATATAATTATTTTTGATCCAAAATAAATAAATAAATAAACTTTAGATTAATTTTATTATTTTTTACAGTGTAAATTTACTAAAGTAAAATGATGAAAATTCGCATTTTTTGAGTTTCCTTAATCTTTAGTAAAAATACGGTTTTTTTTTTAAACAAGTGATTGCGTTTTAAATGATCCCCTGGTAAAATGAGTTTTTTTATTTTATTCTGTCATTCTAGAATAAATTTTTATTTTCTAATAAAAACCGAGATTATTTTTCGGAGTCGATCTATATTTCAGTACGATACGATATATAAAAAAACAAATGAATAAACGATATTTACTTTTTTTTAACATTTTTTGAAAACGATTAGTATGAAGTGAGATAATATTGAAAATCTCGTATCGTTATGCATTTACTAAATGAAGTAAATAAATATTTAAATTTATTGTCAGAATGTTTTCGTTTTATTTGCCTTAATTTATTTTTTAGAATAACAAAGTTGCCACAAAAATTTCAGTTTAATTTTCCCTGACATTTCCCTGTATGCCTCTTACTTCCCTGACCTGTGTCAACCCTGACTAAGCTATCATTGATTGGATCTAATTTAATGATTTAATTTATCTTCCACATTAATTAAGTTCATACAAAATTTGCTCAGCATTTTTTAAAAGCAGATTCTTTTCAAAGATATCTTATCTTCTTGAGAAGAAGGTAAAAACTTGTATAATTTCTCTAGTGATAAAAATTATAAACTTTATAAAGTTCATAGCCGGTACATTAATCATTCTATTCAATTTTTAATAATTCATTGAAGTTTTCTTTTGAAGAAAATTTGATAAAAAATTACAAATATTTTTCTCAGTGAATTGGTATTTCAAGTAAAAATTAGTAAAGTATTCATTGAAATGGGTCAGCGCACTTGAAACTATGTTTCCCTTCGTATATGCTATTTGAAAATAAGGTAGATAGGTAGGTAGGTAGGTACATAAAAATAAAAATCATTTGTATTGATATTGGATCTGCAAATCAGATAATATTTCTCCCAAGTGGAAATCGCGAGAGTTAAATGCTTTCGAGATATTCCTATTGCACTGTCAAAATATATATTTATGCATATAAAGTAAAGTGTACTTGACATCTCATTAAATTTAACGACTCACGCTAAACGTCTATGAGATGGTTCATACAAGAATCCTAATAACATTTACTAGTACTCATAAATGTCAGTTGAAGTACACTCACAAACACAAAAGTTGAAATATATCATCCACTTTGTTTTCTAAACAATAAATTATTCTGTACATATTCTACTTATTTTTCCAACAAAGATATATATATATATATATATATATATATATATATATATATATATATATTTTTTTCCAGAAACTTTATTTCGATAACAAACAAAAAAAGTTGTTTTAAAAATTTAAATTCAATTTTCCCAGGAAGTTGGAAATTCTGATTTCCAACTTTCAACGATGAAAAATGATTTTCCTTGAGAAATTTTCAAATATTTATGAATATATATGTACCTATGTGTATAGGATAACTACAATCTTACCCGGAATCAGCTCGGATTTTATAGATAGACTTGTTCGGAACTGTTGTCCAATTATAACCGGCAACCACCAGAGAATAAGCGTTCATTAATCCAAAGCCAAAACGTGGGTTGTACCAGAAGCCAGCAGAATTTTTAAACCATCCCAAATTATCTCTGCGGAAAAAGGACAGAAAAAAGGAGGAAATTATTTCTAATTGAAGAAGGTGCTTAAATTATTCAAGTCATTGAAAAGACCGTTGAGGGAATGTGTATATAAGACACACTATGACGTCACTAAACGCTCAAATTTTTTGTTTGATTTCTTTTTTAAATCTATGTATTTTTTTGTACTACAATTTTTAAATTAAATTTTAATTTAAATTAAAATGAATTTATTTAATTATTTAGATATACAAACGGGCGATAAAGTCTTTATACATGTATAAAGTAATTAAAAGCAAAAAAAAATAGTCGTACTCTTTAAATTTAAATTAGCAAAAATGTTTACTAATTTACATTAGTGACTGATTTTTTGCTTTTGAATGAGTTTTTACTAATAAACAGTATTTTCACATTTTTTTTTATCAAAATTTACTCATTGAAAAGCAAAAATTCATTCACTAATTAAAATGTAAAATAATAATAATAATTAAAATTTGTAGATTTTTACTAATTCAAAAGAGAATAAATCAAGTTTACAGGGTGGCTGCAAGTCAGGGAAATCAGAGAAAATGCAAGAAAAATAGAATTACTCAGGAAAAAGTAAGAGAATTTTATAAAAAAGTCATGGAAAAAATAATTCATTTTTAGAATTCATAAGAAAATTCTGAATTTTTAGGTCTTTTTTGTTTATTACTTATATAAATATTTAATAATAATTTTACTTGAAAATTTCAAAAATAATTGAATTTTAAAAGAGTTGAGTTTACAATTTTCATAAATGAATGAATTTCAAAAGGTTTCAATTTGATAGTTTAGAAAATTTGAATTAATTTAATAATAATTAGTAAAGAACTTAGTTTTTTGAAAACTTTTAATAATTTAATTTTTTTTAAATCAGTTGAATTTTTTAATACATATTCAATTAATTATTAAAAATAATATATTTAGAGAAGAATTTTAGTTAAAAACACTAAAAAAATCGAATTTTTTGATTAAAATCTTTGAAAATCTGAATTTTAAATACTATTAATTAGCAATTCTGTAAAATTACTAATTAAATTATTAAAAATATTCCATTGATGGAAGATTTTCAGTAAGAAACTTTAATAAGAAATTAAAATCTTTGAAAAACTGAATTTTAAATAAACTTTTAATTATCAACTTTGTCGTAATAATTTTGATGAAAAAATTTTAATTCAAATTTTTTTGAAATTATTTGGAGTTTTTATTTTCTAAAAATACATTTAATTTTCAAAGAATTTTGTCAAAAATTATAAAAAATAATTGATTTTTAGAAAAATTTTAGTTAAAACCCATAAAAATTTTGTATGTTTGGATTAAAATCTTTGAAAATCTGAATTTTAAAATACTTTCAACTTACAATTCAGTTAGAATGAATTTTTTTTGACAAATTTTATTTTAATTCTTTTCAAACTAGTTGAATTTTTTAATATGTATTTGATTAATAATTATTTTATTTAATTAGAAAAAAATTTATTTAGAGAAGAGTTTTAGTTAAAAACTCTAAGAAAATAATTGAATTTTGGAGAAGTTACAAATTTTTTTGCAATTTTTAGAAATAATCGAATTTTGAAAAGGTTTCAAATTAAAATCTTTGAAGATCTGAATTTTTATTAAACTTTCAATTAACAATTTTGTCGAAATATTTTTTTTTAAAATTTAATTCAAATATTTTTGAAATTATTTCAAGTTGTTATTTTTTAATACATAATATATCTGATTGAAGAATTTTCGAATAATCAACATTTTGTAAAATTAAATTGTTAAAAATTCTCAAAAATTATTAAAAATAATTGATTTAAAGAAGAATTTTAGTTATAAACTCTAAAAAAATGATTTTTTTTTGAAAAGTTACAAATAATTGATTTTTTATAAATAATTGAATTTTGAAAACATTTGAAATTCAAATCTTTGAAAATCCAAATTTTTCCTACTTTTAAATAACAATTTTGTCAAACTAATTCTTTTAAAAATAATTTTATTTTAAATTATTTATTTGAAAGTAAATGAATTTTTTAATATACATGTAATTAGTAATTATTTAATTACTAAAAATAATTTTCTTGATAATGTATATTATCTTTTATCGAGTGATAAATAATTCTACAACTATATTTACTGAAAATAATTGTTTGAACTTTGAAAGAAAAATTTCAGTTAAAGACTCTAAAAATATGATTGAATTTTGGAGAAGTTAAAAAATAATTGAAGTTTTTAGAAATAATTGAATTTTGAAAAGGTTTCAAATGAAAATCTTTGAAAATCTGAATTTTAAACACTTTTAATTTACAATTTTGACAAAACAATTTTTTAAAAATAATTTTGATTCAAATTATTTTGAAATTACTGAAAGGTTTTATTTTCCAATAATATATTTAATTTTTAATTGAAAAATTTCCGATTAATCGAATTTTCGTAAAAATTGAATTGTAAACAAATGGTTTTTGATAATTCTCAAAATACTTTTGCACAAATTATTAAAAATATAATTGATTTCAAGAAGAATTTTAGTTGAAAATGGTAGAAAATTGTAATTGAATTGAAATGATGAAAATAATATTGAAGAAGTTATAGTAACAATATTTTTATATTATAAAATAATTATTTTATCACTAGGTTATCTTTAATTATTGTAAAACATGAAGAAATGGATTATTCCGAGTCGAAGACTCGGAGTAATCGATTTTTTCATGTTTTCTAATAATATTCTTATAAGTTGTTGAATTTCAAAAAGGTTTGAATTTGAATCTTTTATAAGAATTTTAATTCCTACGGAAAAATAATAATTAAATGTTTATTTAAAAATGAAGCTATTAATGTTTTCGAATAATTTTACAATGAAAGAAATTCGTAAATAAACGTATTAGAACTTTTTTTTTTGAGTATCTAATAATTTTTAGAGTAAATTGGAATTTTCTTTATCATCACGGGAAAAGTCAAAATTTTCTCTGGAAATTAGGAAGAAGTCAAGGACAATCAAAATTAAATTTTTCCGACAACCCTGACACATTTTTTTACATTAAAATTTTAAATTTTAAAAATGCTCTCTGTTGTTAAAAATTTAAATATTCACCTTTTATTTCCGAAAGATGGATTTTATTTCCCAAAAAAAGGAAGAATGAAAATTTTTTTCTGTATAATTAAAAGGGAGTTTAAAACAAAAAGAAAAATTTTTTTTTCCAATTCACATTGAGAAAATGGTTCGCCTCTTATAAATTAAAACTTATTGAAAGTTTGAAGGATGTGAATTGACTGTACTTTGAATAGGATGCTGATGGTAATTATAACGAGAGTGAAGAGGATCATTTGGCTGCGAGAGAGAGAGAGAGAGTTGTACGCGTTTTTTCATGGTTAGTTTCACGGTAGCTAAAGATTTTCCGTTGAAATTCAGCGACCCAGATTTTCTTCGAGCACACCTGAATGAGAATGGCGTGACTCTTTAATTTAGGGTACTGAGGTCGTCGTCATCGTCGTAGTCGTCGTAGTCGTCGTGGGTTGAAAGTGTGAAATGAAATTTAAATCTTTACCTAAGGGGACTGTATTCCGATGTGTACACTATTAGATGTTGAATATCCCTCCACGTTAATTCCTTGCTGTAAAAAAAAATTTTTTTTTTATTTATTACATTTTTTTATCAAATTTGCATTACTTTCAAAATATATTTTCAATTTAACAAATCTTTTTGTTCTTTCTAATATCAAGGACATCAAGGTGGAAATTTTCTGTAGAATTTTACTTTTTATTCATTTCTTTTACTTTTTTTTTTACTTTTCACTTTAGAATAATTCTATAAAAATAATTCTACACGGTTATTCTTTTCGTTTGTGAGAGAATTTTCATGCCATCTAGGCGGTAATTTAATGAACTAAATTGGCGCGAAATTTGAAAAACGAAAAATGTAATTAATAATAAAATAATATATTAATATATTAATATTAATACTCGGACGTTAAAGACTTTATTATAATGTAATTAATATCTATAAAAAATAATTAATTAGTAAATTAATAAATTAGTAAAATTTACTAATCAAAAGCAAAAAATCAGTCACTCATTCAAATTAATGAAAATATTTAATAATTAAAATTTAGAGAGTTGAATTTATGTAAAAATTCTATTGAATATTTTCCTAGTGGATTTCTCTAAAATATTATTTATAATTTCTATAATATTCACAGGATTTTATGTATAATTGTAAAACAAGTATTCGAGTAAAATTCTATAGAATTTTGTTACAACAAATTCCTTTTAAAAAATTTCTGCTATTTGAAAATAGAAATGAATTCCACTTTCCAATTGAGTGTATCAACTTTTTTCTGGTTTTTAACTTTTGACATTTGAATATAAAGCAAAAGAATTTAATTTCAAAAGTTAACCGTATACTCTGAAAAAATGCAATAAGCTTGTGCATGGAAACTAAAGGAAATAAAACAGTTTTATTTTATATTTTTACTATTAAATTTACTTTTTTTGCTCCTTAGAGTTTGAAACTTGAAACAAAAAAAAAAATGTTGAAATATATTTTATATAAAATTTTATTATTAAAACCTTTTGTGCAAAAGTATAACTTTTATTACATTGTTAGATATAAAAAAATATATAGCAGCAGGTAATTTAAAGCTTTTTTATCATTCTTTTTTTTTAAATTCAGTACAATTAACTTTTAATTATAAGTGCAAAAGTAATTATTATTTATTAATTAATTAGTTTTTGCGAATTATATAAAAAGTTTTTACTAATTAATTATAATTTTTATTAATTATTTAATTACAAAATTAAATGCAGTTAGAAAATTGTTTTCTACTGTTTTCGAAGTAAATTTTAGTGAAAAAATAATAAAAATTTCTTCCAAAAATATTTGAATCATTAATCTATTATCATTTTTCTATTATTATAAAACCAGGCAAAAAATTCTATAAAATTTCACTGAAATGATTATAAAAAATGATTCTTTATAAAATTTATTGAACATTCTATAGAATTTTACTAGAACAATTCAATAAAATAAAATTTTATTAGAATTATATTTTATACAGTCCCAAAAAGATTGCCAATTTTTCTTATAATTATTAATATTAAATATATCGGGACATTCCAAATTATTACTAAAATTATATTTTAATTTGAATTATATTAGAATTTCTACATAAATTCTATTAAATTTTAGTCAGAAATTTATACAAATATCAATTAATTATATTTTTAGTATTATTTCTATAGTTATTAATTAATAAATATATTAATAATATTAATATATTTATTAATATTAATGATTTAAATTTTTCATTTTTTGAATTTCGCGCCATTATAGTTCTTTAAATTGCCGCCTAGATGGCATGAAAATTCTCTCACAAACGAAATGAGGCGAATAGAAATTTTTTATTTTACTTTATTCGCTCAAAATTTATAGAATTACTCTAGTGAAATTCTACAGAATATTCACCAGAAATTTTTTTTAAATTATTCAATAAAACCGTTCTATTAAAATTGAGTAGAACATTTCCGGTTAGAAATTTTATTATTATTGATATTAATATTATTAACATTATTATTATTATTTTTTTATTTTTTTGATAGTTATTTTTATAATTACAATTATTATTACTATTTTTCCATTAGAAAATAATATAAATTTCGTAAAAAAATATTTTTACTTTCTTTTAAGGACACTTCACAATTGAAAAATAAACATTCGAAACAATAATTTAAAAAAAGTATTCTTAATTAGTGCGTTTGTTTATAGAGTTTGCGTTAAGTATCTACTTATTTTGAATATGCATTAACTGTTAAAATGAGGTTCATAAAGTTAGATGATGAAAGCTGTTTCAAACTTCATTATCACATGCTAAAACTTCTGTTTCAATGTTTCTAAGCATTTCTCTAAACTGATAAACCGTTAATTTAGAAACATTTCAGAAAATAAATAAATAATAAATAAAATACGACAATAATTTTTTTTTTTAACGTGAAAGACAATATTAGGAGGAAAAAAATGATTCATCATAATATAAAATTCATTAAAATTAATATAATTTTTAAAGATAAAAATTGTACTTTGCTTGAAGAGCCAGAGCTAAAATGCCTGCAGCTAATGGGGCAGAAGCAGATGTTCCAGTGTGCTTTATTGTGCACTTATTTTTTAAATCTGTTGTTACCTGAAATTTAATTACTTTGTAATACAATTTTTGGTGGAAAATGGCAAAATAATGTTTGAAAGCAATAATTTCCTTTCAGTATATAAAAATAGTTTTTAAACTGGGTAATATTTTGAAAATAAATTAAAGTATTTTGGAAAAATTAGTATTTTAGAAAAAGAGTACTTTATAAATAAATTAGAATATATTTTGGAAATAAATCAAAAAAATTTTTGAATGGGTATTAATAAATTTTAGTAAAGATGTAAAATTGTTTTTTGGATTTTTTAAAATTTAGTAAATATGTCGAAGGTAATTAATAAATTTTTTTTTTTATAAAGTCAATATTATAATATTTTTTATGAAAAGTTTATGAAAATTAATTTTTAATGAAAAGAGAAAATTTTTCTTTTATTTTTGAAAAATAAAATTTTTTTTTTTTTTTTGAAAAAGAGAAAAATGTGAAGAAATATGTGATAGGAAGAAACTTACAATCATTTGATCGTGATAAGCTCCACTGCTATAAGTTGTCGCAAGGGTGGCTGAACATCGTTCACCATACCAAGGAAATCTTCCAGTTTGGCTGGCAGATCCCACTGCCACTGTGTAAATGCTACCAACATAACCATCACACCCACAATCGTCGGATTTCGATCCTCCATTTCCGGAAGCCCAAACATATATGCTACCCTTTCCTTTACGACCCTGACAAATCAATGTTTTATCACCTCAAGAAATACCCACTTAAAAGTAAATATTTTTACACACCAGAACACTACTTATATAAAGAAGACTTATTCTATTTTTAAACTTTTATATCTCTTACGAAATAAAAATAAATAATCCATTTTTACTGCAAAAATGAAAATTAATCTGAAATTAAACGAGAAAATTAGCAATTTTAAAAATAATAGAATTTAAAAATTTTCTAATTTATCTAAATTTTTTTTGAAAAAATTAAAAAAATTCAATTTTGGAGAAATTACAAATAATTGCAAAAATTCAATTATTTTAAAAAAACAAATAAAATTCTTATCATAAAACTCAACTTTGTTGAAAATTTCAAAAAAAATTCTCGTAAAAATCCCAATTATCTTTTTATAAATAACAAAATTCTTCTCCGAATTTCAATTATTTTCATAAATGTCAAAAAAATTCTTGTCCTAATTTCAATGATTTTTAAAAATAAAATGCATTTTTCTAATTTCAATGATTTTCAATATTTACAATTTTAATAAAATTTTCCAAAAAGAATTCAATTATTTAAAAAAAAAATTCAAGAAAATTGTATGCAAACATTTAATTATTTTCATAAATAATAAAAATTTCACAGGAATTCAATTATTTTCCCAAATAATAAAATTTTTTTAAGGAATTCAATTATTATTTTCATAAAAAATAATTATTTTATCTCTCGGTCATCGATATCGGACACTCAAAAAAAAAACTAGTAGATTTGACTACTTTTTAACTACCCTGAGTGATTCAATAGGTCCTCAACTGAATTTAAAAATTTATATTTACTACCGAAAGTAGTAAAAAGAACTAAGAATTTAGTTGATGTAATTAGATTTTGTAGTTGTTTTTGCAATTTAACTACTTTTTTTAGTTATATAAACTATTATTCTTCAACTATATTCAAAGTAGTAAAATCAACTACACAAAAATTGTTAGTAAAACTAAAAAAGTAATTAATTTGACAACTTTCAACTCAACTAGGTAATAGTAGTTAAAGATTTCGACCGAATTTTTTTCAGTGGAACAATCGATGTCTTCATGTTTTATAACAAATACTTTTATATGTTGTTTAATTTAAAAAAGGTTTGAATTTGAAATTTTTGAATGTCTTAAATCCTGTGGAAAATCCCGTTCCAAAAATAAGATTAAAAATAGAAATTGTGCAAATATTTTTCTTCTTTTTCTAAAACAAAATAATAATTTTATTTCAAAAATTTTGATTCATAAACAAGAATAATGCAAAATAAACAAATTTTTTATTTCTTAATCACAGTTGTTTAACAATTTTTCTAATTTTTTTTAGAAGGTCACAATAAAAACAAATTTATTTAAAAATATTAGAAATTTTTATTTTTTAATAATATATTTCATTTTCAAAGACCTTTTTCAAAAATGATTAAAAATAATGGATATATAGAAGAATTTTATAGTTAAAAATTCTAAAAAATAATTTAATTTTGGAGAAGTTGTAAATAATAGCAATTTTAGGAAATAATTAAATTTCGCAAAGGTTTAAAATTAAAATCTTTGAAATTCTGAATTTTGCATAAATTTTTAATTATCAAATTTTGTCGAAATAATTTTTTTGAATAATTTTAATTCAAATTTTTTTAAAATTTATTTGACGATTTTATTTTCTAATAATATATTTAATTCTCTAAGAACTTTATCAAACATTATTAAAAATAATTGATTAAGGGAAGAATTTTAGTTACAAATTCTAAAATAATAATTGAATTTTGGAAAAGTTATAAATAATTGCAATTTTTGGAAATAATTGAATTTTGGAAAAGTTATAAATAATTGCAATTTTTGGAAATAATTGAATTTCGAAAAAGTTTCAAATTAAAATCTTTAAAAATCTGAATTTTTATTAATTTTATTAATTAACAATTCCGTTGAACGAAATTTTTTTAAAAATTGTAATATTCCAATTCTTTTGAAAGTAGTTGAATTTTTTAATATATGTATATTTAATTATTAAAAATAATTAATTGAGGGAAGAACTTTTGTTAAAAATTATAAAAAAATAATTTAATTTTGGAGAAGTTATAAATAATAGCAATTTTTGGAAATAATTGAATTTCGAAAAGGTTTCAAATTAAAATCTTTGAAAATCTGAATTTTTAATAAACTTTTAATTTAAAATTTTTTTCAATAATTTTAATTCAAATTTTTTTAAAAATATTATAAATTTTTACTTTTTAATAATATATTTAATTTTCAAAGAACTTTTTCAAGAAATATTAAAAATAATGGATTTATAGAAGAATTTTAGTTAAAAATTCGAAAAATAATTAAATTTTGAAAAAGTTACAAATAATTGATTTCTTTTATAAATAATTGAATTTCGAAAAGATTTCAAATTAAAATCTTTGAAATTCTGAATTTTGCATAAATTTTTAATCAACAATTTTGACGAAATAATTTTTTTAAATAATTGTAATTCAAATTTTTTTAAAACTATTTGAACTTTTAATTTTGTAATAATATATTTAATTTTCAAAGAACTTTATAAAAAATTATTAAAAATAATGGATTTATAGAAGAATTTTAGCTAAAAACTCTTAAAAAATAATTGAATTTTGGAAAAGTTACAAATAATTGCAATTTTAAGAAATAATTGAATTTTGAAAAACTTTTAAATTAAAATCTTTAAAAATTTGAATTATTATTTAAAAAAACAATTTCTAGAAAAAATTGATAATATTTTATCAAAAAAAAGAAGTTAATATTATTTTACCATATTTTAGAAAATAATTTTTTTGACAAAATTTCTGGAAAACAACACATATATATTCTTTTTTTTCATCGAAAGAATAGACTTTTAGAGAGTACACTTTCGTGCATTTCCTTAGAAATCAAGTTGAATTTAGAAAGCAGCATGATGTTTGCCTTTCATTAAGAAAAGTAAAGAGTGCTTTTACTCTGCAGAGTGAGAAAAGTTTCGAGGTCATTGTCTACACATATGTTACACATTTCGTGCTCTTTTGATGCACATGTTACTATATTAGATTTCCAGCAAAGCTTTGCATAAATTATTAAAACAAAAAACGAATTAAAACCTCATGTGATGAAAAGAGAAATTTTTATATAAACATAACCAGAAAAATTTACATTTCAATTTAATTGGCAATTTTGTTAAAAAAAGATTCAAGTCGGATTTTTAAAATTCTCCAAGCGGCTAAAAATAATGAATATTTAAAAATTGTATTCATTTTTTCCCTAGTTTATTTTCTTTAATTTTAACCTCTCAATAACAATTATTTACAATTTATTTATTATTATAATTTATATTATTATGTTGGATCTAACATTTATCAACTAATTAATTAAAATTTATATAAATTAATTTAGTAGTTAAATTATTTTTATATAAATTTATTAATAATTTATATTATTAATTTTCGAACTCAAACAAAAGAATTTTATGTCAAAATCGCTTCATGTCGTTTACGAGAGAATTTTCATGACGAACTTTATTGGCGTCAAATTCAAAAGGAAAGAAAAATTTTATTAATAATACATCAATATTCATTAATATCTAATTATTATCTATACACAATTTTTTAAATTTCTATGAACCAAATATTTATTTGTAATTGTATAGAATTCTACCTTCGTAGAAGAATTTGCAGTTTATTTAGAGTAATAAAAAAAGATCACGAAAATAGGAAATATTTTTTATTTTCTAAAAAAGTTTGATGAAATTTTATATTTTATGACTCTCAGAACTATTATTTCTTATCAATTTAAAAATATTTCGCAAATACTATATGTGATTAGAAAAAAACACAACACTTTAAAGATTTAAGGCTTCTATAAACAACAGTATATTTCAAGTGATATTCAAGAAGGTATGTAAATATTATTTTGAATCAGAAAAATTGCTAAAAATACTAGACCTTTTCAGAAAATGTAATTTATACCTTCTAATTTTCCATTAGTAAATAGTGTTCATTTTTAGATCTGAATTAATGAAAATTGAATTCACATTAGTAAGAAATTTGACTAATTTCTGTCCCTTTTTACGAAAAATGTAGTAAAACAAATTTCAATAATTGAAAAATGGAAATATTTTAATTGAAATGAATAAATATTTTTACGCCTGTTAGATAGTTGTCTAATTTCCAGTAATTTAGATTTTTTATAAAAAATTTTCAGTAATTTAGTTTAATATTTTTAATTAATTATAAATTTTTAGTTGATTGTATAATAAATACAAAAGCAAGCATATGTACAAAAAGTAAATAAGAAAGATAATCTCAATTACAAACAAATTATATTACTAATTAATACTAATACTAAATTGCATAAAAAACAATTTTTAAAAATTTGAATTTAAATTTAAAAAAATCATTTCTGCATTGAATATTTATCATATTGAAAGTTATCAAAAAAAAATTAAAGAATAATTTTTTGTAGCTTGATATAACTCAAGGCAATGAAAAGATAATAATTTTTATTTTCTGTTATGCACGAGTAGGTATTCATTTTTTAATAAACCAAAATTCATGTTTTCGTTAAAAGATATTAAAAAACTAAGATTTAAATTTACTTATTTCTTTTTTCTAATTTGAAATTTTTAATATTATTTTAAAATCATATTTTGAGTATAAAATATTATTCTAGAGAAGGATCGATTGGGAAGATAAAAAATATTCAGTAATTTACACCAACTGATTTGTGTACATTTGACATTTTTTGGACGAAAAATATTTTGCTCATTAACAATGAATATAATTATCATCCTTGGGAATATTATTACAATTTTATTAATTGTAAAATTGGAATCAACAAGAATATCACCTTCTGAACGACTTTACGAACTTGAGAGTATTAATAAGATAAGAAACAAAGCGATAAGAAAATATCTTCCTAATTATGATTTACAGGAAGCATTTAAATTTTTAAGTCAATACATAATGAATGAGGTGGAAATGTATGGATTTGCCGAGCATCTAAACAGAACTGATTATCCACCAGAATGGAGCAAAACTAGAAAATTGGAAAATTATGAATATTACAATTTTTTGAGATACAATTTCCCTCTGGAAGCATATGAACTAATTCCCCAACAAGCAGAAATGCGTATTAATTATCTGAGAAGAAGGTTTTTTCAGAATGCACCTACACTCGATGCGCAAATATTAATTGAATCTTACTACGGAAGAAAATTGGATGATTTAATGTTATTTGAAGACTATTATGCTATTACGATTTTACTGAAAAATATTTCGATATTTTATGTCAATGATCCCGCATCGTGGAGAATGAGAAGAGCTTTATACAATTTGGCTATACGAAATTACAATCTAAATTCAGATTTAAATGACACTTCAAAATATTGTTTCTTTAGGGATGTTAAAACAGAAACTTTCATTAATGATATAAATGTAGAAGATGTTTTCGATACAACTAATTTCATTATTTGTAGCAGCAAATATAAAGAATCATACTCATATGAATTTGGAAATTTAGAATTCAATTTGTCTTCATATTGGTTGAATAACAAATTGCTAATTACGAATTCTAACCTAATGGTAAGTTTGGAAGACATAGTTGAACTTGATGATGAAGAAATTTACGTAATCCTGCCTGATGTAGAGCTTACGGTACGAAGTGTTAAAGCATTTTTTATTATAAACGGAAAACGAAATGCATATGTAAACATGTTAACTTCCTCAATGTATGAAAGGTGCAACTGGTTAACTTATTTAGCAAATCAAATTGAAAAGTACAAAGAGATGGAAAATAATTATTTTCGTATCAAGGGCGCAAAATTCGATCGAGGTGAAGCCTGAGTCGTAATCACCTTTGCGCCCATGTTGCGAACACAATTTGGTAGAAAAATTATTTTGTGTATCAGATGTATAATCTCAATAGTAAAATAGAAATAATAAATGAAAATTTATAATGTGTTTTCTATCATTAAATATAAAAAAGGATATATATACAATTTAGTAGAACGATAAGCATTCAACCTTGCAAAGAAAAATTTCCAATTATCTTCTAAGTAATAAAAAAGTTAATGAATATAGAAAATGTTTCGTTATTTTCAAGAAAAGTCTTATAAACATTTGAAATTTTCCACTCTTAGAAAGGTTTTTTATAAATTTACGAATATGTGACACATACTACCAAATTTTATTACAAAATATTTTAATTGTTATTATTTTTCTTATGCTTATATTATAACTGCATTACATATGCAAATGAACTGCAACTAAACTATGATGTAGGTATTAGAAAAAATTTACTAAAATAATTATGCTGAACATTTTTTTTAATACTTTAAAGCAGTACAAAAATCAATCATGAAGTAATTATTAAAAAAAATCGATTTTTGTTTTCTTTTTTCATGTTATACTTTTACAATTATCTCTATAATAAAAAAGTAATGCATAACAATCGTTACTGTTTATTATATTGAAAAAAAGTCATGTTCAATTTTAAATTTTAGATAACTAGCATAACTACACGCGCGTGAAATTTTCCTTTTAATTTTCATTTTTTTAATTTTAATTTTTAATTTTTTTTTTACTTTAAAAAATATTGTTTTTGAAATTTCATAAAAATTTTTCATTTTTTAAAAATTATAATTATTTTAAGTTTAACAGTTGCTCTTAAAAAAAATTAAAACTTATTTGAACAGCTCGTGTAGAAATCTCCAAGAGAAAAAATATTAAATAATTATGTGAAATTAAATTATTTATATTAAATAAATAAACTTTCGAATACCGCTGGAATAATTCTGGTAATAAGTTTAATTATTTTTAAAATTTAATTATTCTTTAAATTTTTAATTAGAATTCTTCAAAAATATGATTTAATTTATTCAAATTTCTCCGAACCAAATATTTACTAGTATTCTTGTAAACATCTATTTTTTTTTATCTGCAAAAATAAAAAAATACCTATATAAAAATAAATATAATGATAAGTAAAAATTCTTTATAGAAGAATTTGCAGTTATTTTAGAGTAATAAGAAAAGATCACGAAAATGGGAAATATTTTTTATTTTCTAAAAAAGTTTGATGAAATTTTATATTTTATGACTCTCAGAACTATTATTTCTTATCAATTTAAAAATATTTCGCAAATATTATATGTGAGTAGAAAAAGCAGAGCACTCTGAAGATATAAGGCTTCTGTAAACTACACTACATTTCAACTCTGATATTTAAGAAGGTATGTAAATATTATTTTTAATTCGAAAAGTTGCTAAAAATATTAGACCATTTCAGAAATTGTTATTTTCATACCTTCTAATTTTCAATTAGTAAATAGTGTTCATTTTCAGATTTGAATTAATGAAAATTGTATTTACATTAGTAAGAAGTTTTACTGATTTTTGTCACTTTTCCCGAAAAATGTATTAAAACAAATTTTAATAATTAAAAAATAGAAATATTTTACTGGAAATAAAAAAATTCTCTTACAACTGTTAGTAAGTTGTCTAATTTTCAGTAATTTATATTTTTTCCAAAAAAATTTTCAGTAATTTAGATTAATATTTTTAATTAAGTAATTAATAGTCTTTAGTTGTTTGTAAAATAAATACAAAAGCAAGCATATGCGCAAAAAGTAAATAAGAAAGATATAATCTCCATTACAAATAATATACTAGATTGAATAAGAAATAATATTTACAAATTTGAATTAAATTTTTAAAGAAATATTTTCTGCATTCAATATTTATCATATTGAAAGTCAACTAAAAAAGTTTTAAAACATTTTTTTTATAGCCTGTTAAAACTCATGGGCATGAAAAGATAATAATTTTTATTTTCTTTCTTGCATCGAATATACTGATATTGATTTTTTTATAAATAAAAATTCATGTATTCGTTAGAAAATATTAAAAAGCTTAGATTTATATTTACTCATATCTTTTTTCTAATCGAAAATTTTTAATATTATTTTAAAATTATATTTTAAATATAATATATTATTTTAGAAAAGGATCGATTGAGAAGAACAAAAGATATTCAGTAATTTTACATCAACTGATTTGTGTATACAAATAATTTGACATTTTTTAGACGAAAAATATTTTTCTCAATAACAATGAATACAATTATTATCCTTGGGTACATTATAACAATTTTATTAATTGTAAAATTGGAATCAACAAGAATATCACCTTCTGAACGACTTGACGAACTTGAGAAGATTACTATCATAAGAAACAAAGTGATAAAACATTATCTTCCTAATTATGATTTACAGGAAGCATTTAAAATTTTAAGTCAATACATAATGAATGAGGTGGAAATGTATGGATTTGCCGAGCATCTAAACAGAACTGATTATCCACCAGAATGGAGCAAAACTAGAAAATTGGAAAATTATGAATATTACAATTTTTTTAGATACAATTTCCCTCTGGAAGCATATGAACTAAGTGCACAACAAGCAGAAATGCGTATTAATTATCTGAATAGAATTTTTTTTAAAAATGCACCTACACTCGATGCGCAAATATTAATTGAATCTTACTACGGAAGAAAATTGGATGATTTAATGTTATTTGAAGACTATTATGCTATTACGATTTTACTGAAAAATATTTCGATATTTTATGTCAATGATCCCGCATCTTGGAGAATGAGAAGAGCTTTATACAATTTGGCTATACGAAATTACAATCTAAATTCAGATTTAAATGACACTTCAAAATCTTGTTTTTATATGAATATAAAATCAAAAACTTACGTTAATAGTATGACTTTAGGAAATGTTTTCGGAACTACAGATTTCATTATTTGTAGCAGCAAATATTTAAATTCATACACATATGATTATGAAAATTTGAATTCCAAGTTGTCTTCATATTGGCTGAATAACAAATTGCTAATTACGGATTCTAACCTAATGGTAAGTTTGGAAGACATAGTTAAATTTGATGATGAAGAAATTTACGTAATACTGCCTAAGGTAGATCTTAAAGTAGTAAGTGATAAAGCATTTTTTATTAAAAACGGTATAAGAAATGTATATGTAAAAATTGAAACTTCCGCAATTTATGAAAAGTCCAACTGGTTAACTTATTTAGCAAATCAAATTGAAAAGTACAAAACGATGGAAAAAGAATATTTTAACACTCATCCCGACAGTTATGTATGAAGAAATTGCTACAAAATCTACCATTAAAAAAAATCTACTAAGAATTGTTTCGATAATTTACATTTCTATTTAGTGAGAAAATTATTTTTTTAGATGTATAATATCAATAGTAAAATTGAAATCTGTTACTCGAAAATTTTTTCTGTCTTTAAATATAAAAATGTATATAAAAGTTAGTACAACGATATGTATTCAACCTTGTAAAGAAACATTTACAGTTATCACTTAACTAATAAAAAATTTTTCTGAACATAGAAAATGTTTCGTTATTTTCAATAAAAGTTTTATAAACATTGGTAATTTGACATTTAGAAAGATTTTTTAGAATTTAAAATTACGTGGCAAATACTTCTAAATATTAGTACTAATTTTTTAATTATTATTCTTTTGTATTACATGTGCAGATAAACTGCAAGCAAAGTATGAGATATTAGAAAAAACTTAATTTCTTTCTTTTAATAATTAATTCATTTTTTCCAGATAAAAAGCATTAATTCCGCTGAAGCGAATAGACTGCCCGATATTTTACAAGTTTATTACTTATTTCCAACCAAATTCAAAATCTAGAGATTCGCGTAAAATTACACCTCGAAACGACTCATAAAAATCCATAAAGCATTTTAAGCCTCTTGAAGAAAATTTTCAAATTCCGAGTTGAGAGCTCGTTTTGAATCTAAAATATAACGGGAAAAAGCAATTCATTTTACAAAATGAGATTTAAAAATGTAAATTAAGATTGCATATGTAATACGAAATCTAGAGAGAGAACTATTGATTCGCTGGATTGCACTTTAAAATTGGTTTTCCTTCTCACTGTTCATTCAATTAAAAATTAAGGTTAATAGCTTCAATAGACTTCTCAGCTTCTGCAATATAATTTTTAGTCTGTTATTTTAATCAAATTAGAATGATAAAATCTTCAAAATTATACAATGCACTTCTCGAAGAAATTTAGTTCAATGAGACTGGAATTTAATAAACTATTGTTTTATTTTGCATATAAAAAAACAATAATTTAGTAAAAGTAGCCTTAAAAAGTATTTTGTTCGAATTTTTTATTTTTATATCTCTGGAAAATTATATTTTTCATCTTCTTTTGCTTATCATTATTATTTTAATTTTACTTTATTATTTTGGTTAATATTTAAAAACTTTAGGCCAATTTGAACCATTAGAAAAAAAATTGTATTCAAAATGGTTAAATTAACATTCGTAAGTATTTGATTGGTGCGCAAAGCAAAGATGCTTAACTGGGCGGAGCTTAGAATAATGGGAGTGAGTGAGAGAGTTTGAAACTTCTCTGTCGCTCTCATTGCTCCCACTCCTGCGCTTGCGCTCTACTGTCCCCCCACTCTACTCGTTTCTACCTTTCATCGGAGCGCGTCACGTATATAAATAAAAATTACTATACTTTAACTATTAGAATAAATATAGCAATGAATACAAATTTTTTAAATAAATATAATAAAAAAATATATTTATTTTTAATATTAGTTTATTTATTACTTGTATTTTTTATTTCGCTATTATTTTTTATTTTATAAAAAAATGTTGTGAAATAAAAAGGGAAAAAATGAAAATAAATAGTGAAATAAAAATTAAAACAAAAGGAAGAAAAAATATGAAACAGTTAAAATTTCAAACAGCATAATAAGAGATTTATAATAAAGGAAAGAAAAGAATAAAAAGGTGTTTATCTTTTTATCTACTGAACAAAATAATAAAAAAGTACTTAGAAAAGAAAAATAGAAAGGAAAAAAAAATGTGAAATAGTAAAAATTTGAAAAAGCATGTATATTAAAGTGTCAAGGGGCTGAAATAGTTTTTATATGACCTGATACAGGTCACTGGGGACAAGACTAACCTGCTTGACTCCCCTTTCGAGTGCTTCAGAGGCCAATCTGCCCGGTGCTTCTAAACTTTTTCCATCGTCTGCTGGACCCCACGATGCTGTATAAATATCGACCAATTCTGGCTTATAACCGAGAGCTTCACCTTCGACCCGGTCGTTAACAACTCCGTCTAGCATTTTAATTCCCCCAATTGATGCCTCAAAAGCCACTCCAACACCACATTTTTTATTGTCAGCTTCCATTGCTATTTCGCCAGCACATCTAGTGCCGTGTCTATTTAATCCTAAAAAAGAAAATTTTATTTTTTATTCTTAACCAAAAAAAAAAAAAATTATTAAACACTGAGAAAAAATATTTTTCTTTTAATAAAAAAATAAGTGGCCAAAAATCAAAAAACATAATTGAATTAAACATAATTTTTATTCAAACTTATTATGTACTGAATAAAAATTATGTTTAATACATGATTTTTGGTTGACTGTATAACAATGATAACTATGTTTGATTCAAATGTATTGTTTTCTCAGTGTAGATAAAAAATTTATTTTTAACCAAACTAAATGTTAAATAAGCATTTTTTAGGTATATGTGGGTGATTTCTTTGAAAGTGTAATTTTTTATGTCTTGATTAATTTAAAAAAATTATTATAAAACGAAGGAAAAATATTGCTTTGATAAAAACCATATAATTAAAAAAAATTAATTAATCGTAGTTCAAAAGTAGCATTTTTAGAAAAATCACCCACATAATAAAATGCTTTTTGAAAAATATATTTTACAAAATATTTTGACACATTTTAGAGAAAATTACGTGCCTGTTGCTTCGTAACGAGGTATCGGATCATTATCCCTGTTATTAACATCATAACTGATTTCAGGATCCTGTTGAAAATTTGATTAATATTAAAATAATATTAATTAACAAAAAAAAAAAATAATAAACTGCAGTAAATTTCATATTTGTTATTATCTCGTTTATTTTATTCTTGATGGAGCGAATCATAAATGTCACATTATTATTTGATATATTATAAAGTTTATATAACATGATAATAACCGCAGAATTTGTAACATCTGCGCTAGAGAATTTAAATTATTTTATATAGTTTCTGGTGTGTAACGTTTAATTATAAATTATTCATAAACTTCGTATTATTTTGTTGGGGATTATATATATATATATATATATATAATATATACATATTTCATAATTAAAATATATTTATTGTCTTATTAATTATGCAAATATGTCGTTAAATTATTCCTGGAGTTTCATTCATTTTTATTTGAAATCCATAATTGACTTATTTATTTGTTTATTTCAGTAAATCAAAAATTCTTTGGACTAAAAATTTCGGAGAGAAACAAAGCATTTTGTTATTATTAAAGAAATTTTTAGTAAATATAATTTTGTCAACAATGATTAAAAAAAGTGATTTTTATTTATTCAAAATTATATTTTTCTCTACAATTTTGTATTTCCCTGAAATCTCACCGATCTCTAAATTTAACTGTTCAAAGATTCAATTATTTTCTAGAATTTTTAAATAGCTTCTTCTCAAAAGCGATTATTTTTTTACAATTTCTCGACAAATTTTTGAAAATTCAATTATTTAAATTCTGCGATTTCTAAATTTAATTATTTAAAAATTCAATTATTTTCTAGAATTTTTAAATAGCTTCATCTCAAAATTAATTATTTTTAATAATTTTCCGAAAAATCTTTGAAAATTCAATTACTTAAATACAAAAATCCAATTTTTCTATAATTGAAACTGTGACTTTTTTCTGGTATTTTTTAAAAATGTTATTTGAATTTTTTAAAATAAGAAAACAAAAATATTGAAAATAATTGATTTTTAAAAAATTATAATATAAAAAATTCTCCCAATTAGTTTATTAAAAATATTTTTAAACAATTTTTGTACAAACTTGTTAAAAATAGATTTTTTTCAATTATATGTAATTGAAAAATTTCCAAATAAATTGAAATTTCTTAAAATTTTTTTAAAATAATTGAATTTTTTAAAAGAATTTATATATAAAGTATAAAAAAAACAATAAAATTCTTGAAGAATTTTAAAAGCAAATTTATTTTTTATTTAAAGAAACAAATAACAAATGTGAAAATGCAAGATTTCTCCAAAATTTTACAATTTAGTCTAAAGAAGTAAATTTCTAGAAAATTTTAATTTGTTTTTTGAAAATAATTTGAATTTTTTAAAAGAATTTATATAAAGTATAAAAAAATGAATCAAGTGTTTGAAGAATTTTAATAACAAATTTATTTTCTACTTACAGAAAAAAATTACAAATGTAAAAATGCAAGATTTCTCCAAAATTTTACAATTTAGTCTAAAGAAATAAATTTTTAGAAAATTTTAATTTGTTTTTTGTAAATAATTGAAATTTTTAAAAGAATTTATATAAAGTATTAAAAAATGAATTAAGTTAATGAAGAATTTCAATAACAAATTTATTTTTTTATTTGCAGCAAAAATTACAAACGTGAAAATGCAAGATTTCTCCATAATTTTACAATTTCAGTCCATAAAGAAGTACATTTTTAAAAAAATTTTAATTTTTTTTTGAAGATACTTGAATTTTTAAAATAAATTATAATAAAAAACCCAAAATATAATTTCTTTTTTAAATGTAATTAAATTTTTCAAAAATAATTGAATTTCTTGAATGAATTGTTCGATAATTCAAAAAACTAATTCATTTTCTAGATGAATTATATAATTACAAATTTTGAGAAGGATTGATTTTTACAAAATTTTAATAATTCTAAAAAATTGAATTGTTTAAAAAATTTTAATATAATTTTTTTTTGTAGAAATTTGTATTTCTAAATACAAATTGAATTTGAAATAATTGTAATAAAAAATTCTAAAAATTCCTTTTTTAAAATGTATTTTAGTATAATTTTTTGAAGTTAATTGTGTACAATAAATTCTGTGCGGTTACATTTTATTAAAAAATAGTAGAAAAAATTTCTAAACTATCTTTTACTATATTTTAATTTTAACTAATTCAGAAACAAGAAAACTGCGTCTAATTTTTAAATTAGTAGGTACAATTTAATTACTAATAAAACTTTAGTATAATTCTAATGTAGAGTCAAAATTTTTAGTAACTTAGTTTTAGAAAGTTAATAATATTTATTCTTTATTAACAATATTATTATTATTATTATTATTATTATTATTATTATTATTATTATTATTATTTAAAAATTTTATTATTATTGTTATTTTTTTATTATTATTTTTTGTTATTATTAATTTATAGATTTCATTATTATTATTGTTATTTAGATTATTATAAATTATCAATAAAATTTATTTATTTCCATGTAAACAGCTTTTCAAAAAAAAAGGAAAACGAGCATAAAAGTTTAATATTAAAAATTAATTTTTTTAACTAATTTTTTTTTTAAATAAAAAGAAAAGTTGTACTTTTCCGGACATCTGTGGGAGAATTTTGCAACTGTTTAAAACAAAGTAAACTTACGTAATTATTTCGCAGATCATCGTGGGTATATTCGAGGCCATCATCCAGAACTGCAACCCTTATTCCTCGACCCGTTATCCCCTGTCGGTACAGGGGTAGAACATTCAAGTCCAGTTTAGGGAGGTTTCTGTTTGATCGTGTGTCTTGCTAAATCACATGATAAGCAATTTTTTTTTCACAAAATAGTTGATAATTTAGGAAAAATAAATGCAGGAGCGCTGCGAGTCATGTTTTTTTTTAATTCAATAAATTAAATTCTATAAATATTTTCAACTCTTTTTTTTGTATTTTGTATATATTTATTTTGTATTTTGTATTTTATAATTTTTTAAATTTAGTTTGTAATTGAAATTGGGTAATAAATTTCTTATTTGTAAATTAATGAGAAATTATTAATAGATTGAAAAGAATTTTTTAAGTTCAAAATCGAAATTGAAATTAAAATTAAAATTGAAGTTGAAATTGAAATTAAAATTGAAATTATTAAAAATAATAAAAATTCAGTTGCAATTCTTCAAATTGCAATAAGAATTTTTTTATGGAAGAAAAATCGTTACCAAATACCATTCTTGATCCCAAAGTTCATCGTTGAAAATTTTCACATTCTCTGATTCATCTATTGTTAGAGTATTAAGTTTTGCTTTATTTTTATCAATTTCTCTCGGACACTGACCATGGCAGTCAGAATTGAAAGCAAAAGGCAGTCGCTTTTCTCTTATCAAGGGCTTTTCTGATTCAATATCGTCCAACACGATGTAATCCCTCTTATGACGGGTAATAACTTTTTGTTCTTCTGCCCACATTATCTATATTTCCAAATAACAAAATAAAATCAATAACAGCCGAGGAAACAACAACAATAAAAAAATACTTAAAGAAGAGATTTAATAAAATAAATAAATAATAAAGAAAAGAAAAAATTAAATATTTATACCTTTGATGTTAAGTCTAAAATTTTTAACGAGTGAGAAATTCCTCTTTTTCTTTGATCTGGATTTTTGCTTTTATGCCATAAATATGTATTCTCAAATCCAAGAACCTGTGACAAAAAAAATTCACAGTAATATTCGATATATTATTATTCACATGGAGAATAAAATTTCGTATAGAAAATGCGGAAAAATGGCATGTACCTATGCATGACATTTTTCTGCATTATTTCTATACGAAATTTTTTTTTTTGTTTTAGGGGAAAAAATCACTGAGAAAACAATATATTTGAATCAAACATAATTATCTTTGTTGTACAGTCAACCAAAATGTATTTTTGAATTAAAAATAATAATTTTGAGTCAACACATAAAAAAGTTTGATTCAATAAAAATTATATGTTTAATTCAAATATATTTTTTTGGTTGGCTACTTATATTTGGATTAAAAAAAAATTGATTTTTTGAAATTGATGAATCAGGGTTTTCGTTGAAATTTTTAAAAATTTAACCATAAGAAGGTGAAATAATAAATAAATGTTAAAAAAATATTAAATATCTTATAAAAAATTGTTATTAAATTTTTTTATTTTTTCCTTTTTTTCTAATTCAATAAATAATTGGGAAAATGATTTATGGCAAAGCGGATAAAAAAACTGGGGGTGAAATGGACGTCGCAATTATATCCACCCCTAAGAATATACTCAATAAGGGACGCTTTTACCAGGACAACATAAATAGAAAAGAAGTGATTCGGTAAAAGGTATTAAGTTAAATTTTTGTTAAAGAAAAATGACCCAGAGTGGCATTTGTAGGGCGTCCGGGCATCGATACCGACAGGTGGACATGGCAGTGAATGGTGCCTGTGTATTGAGGGTTACGATATTTGTATAACGCCAGTCACATATGGCACGTTTTTGTCAGTAGACGAAACCACCTAGCTCTTTATGACTCCTGTCTACTACTCTCCTGATACTTTACTGCCCGACAAAAAAAATAAAAAAATAAAAAAAAAATGCACATACAGGGTTGCCACAAAAATATAATTTCTGTTTTTCCCTGACTTTTTCCTGATTTCAAGAGAAAATTTGCACTTTTTCCCTGACACTAAAGAATATATTCTGATTTCCTATAAAAATAATTAAAAACTTACAAAAATTTTTTTTTACTATTTTTTACGAATTTCCGTTAAAGAAATTCGTAATTTTCTATTATAGTTTTTTATGAATTTCTGTTAAAGAAATTCGTAATTTTTTATTACAGTTTTTTACGAATTTCTGTTAAAGAAATACGTAATTTTCTATTATAGTTTTTTACGAATTTCTGTTAAAGAAATTCGTAATTTTTTATTACAGTTTTTTTAAAATAAATATTTCATCATTATTATTTTTCCATAGGAATTTTTAAAATTCTTTAAAAGATTCAAATTCAAACCTTTTTGAAATTCAACAAAACTATTTTTATACTATTTTTTACGAATTTCCGTTATAGAAATTTGTAATTTTCTATTATAGTTTTTTACGAATTTCTGTTAAAGAAATTCGTAATTTTTTATTACAGTTTTTTACGAATTTCTGTTAAAGAAATTCGTAATTTTTTATTACAGTTTTTTACGAATTTCTGTTAAAGAAATACGTAATTTTCTATTATAGTTTTTTACGAATTTCTGTTAAAGAAATTCGTAATTTTTTATTACAGTTTTTTTACGAATTTCTGTTAAAAAAATTCGTAAAACATCATCAGTTTTTTAAAATAAATATTTCATCATTATTATTTTTCCATAGGAATTAAAATTCTTTAAAAGATTCAAATTCAAACCTTTTTGAAATTCAACAAAACTATTTTTATACTATTTTTTACGAATTTCCGTTATAGAAATTTGTAATTTTCTATTATAGTTTTTTACGAATTTCTGTTAAAGAAATTCGTAATTTTTTATTAAAGTTTTTTACGAATTTCTGTTAAAGAAATTCGTAAAACATCATCAGTTTTTTTAAATAAATATTTCATCATTATTATTTTTCCATAGGAATTAAAATTCTTTAAAAGATTCAAATTCAAACCTTTTTGAAATTCAACAAAACTATTTTTCTACTATTTTTTACGAATTTCCGTTAAAGAAATTCGTAATTTTCTATTATAGTTTTTTACGAATTTCTGTTAAAGAAATTCGTAATTTTTTTTACTATTTTTTTACGAATTTCCGTTAAAGAAATTCGTAATTTTCTATTATAGTTTTTTACGAATTTCTGTTAAAGAAATTCGTAATTTTTTATTACAGTTTTTTACGAATTTCTGTTAAAGAAATTTGTAATTTTTTATTACAGTTTTTTACGAATATCTGTTAAATAAATTCGTAAAACATCATCAGTTTTTTAAAATAAATATTTCATCATTATTATTTTTCCATAGGAATTGAAATTCTTTAAAAGATTCAAATTCAAACCTTTTTGAAATTCAACAAAACTATTTTTATACTATTTTTTACGAATTTCCGTTATAGAAATTCGTTATTTTCTATTATAGTTTTTTACGAATTTCTGTTAAAGAAATTTGTAATTTTTTATTACAGTTTTTTTAAAATAAATATTTCATCATTATTATTTTTCCATAGGAATTTTTAAAATTCTTTAAAAGATTCAAATTCAAACCTTTTTGAAATTCAACAAAACTTGTAAGAATATTTAATTTAAAATTCAGATTTTCAAAAATTTTTAAATTGAAACCTTTCTGAAATTCAATTATTTGTAACTTTTCCAAACTTGAATTATTTTTTTTTTTTTGAGTTTTTAACTAAAAATCTTTTCTAAATCAATTTTTTTTAATAATTAAATAATAAAATTCAATCATATGTTTAGAGTTTATAACTGAAATTCTTCTTTAATACAATTATTTTTAATAATTTTTTGACAAATTTCTTCGAGAATTTTTAAATCCATTTAAAGAAATAAATTTACAAAATTCAATTTTATAAAACTTTAATTATTCGAAATTCTTCAATCAAATATATTATTAAAAAAGTAAAACTTGAAATACTTTAAAAAATATTTGAATTAAATTAAAAAAAAATTATTTCGACAAAATTGTTAATTAAAAGTTTATTAAAAATTCAGATTTTCAAAGATTTAAATTTGAAACCTTTTCGAAATTCAATTATTTCTAATAATTAAAAATATTTGTAACTTCTCTAAAATTCAATAATATTCTTAAGAGTTTTTAACTAAAATTCTTCTGTAAATTAATTATTTTTAATCATTTTTTACAAAGTTCTTTGAGAATTAAATATATTATTAGAAAATAAAAAATTCGAACAATTTAAAAAAAATTGAACGAAAATTAAGTTTATTTAAAATAAATTATTGTCTGAAATAGAAAGAATTGTATGTTTTGTGGTAATTTCATAGTTTATGAAGTAAACAAAAATGTCACAAAATATTGAGAATTTTCTTATGAATTCTGAAAATTTAATTTTTTTTTCAAATATTACCGAATTAAAAATCATATTTTCAACATTTTTTTCCAGTATATGTAAATTGAGATTTTTGAAATCGCGAAAATTTAACATTTCTCTCATAAATGAATACATTTGCAATTGTGCACGGTATTGAAAATATTTTTGATTATCAAATATCGTATTACATTTATATAACAAAAAGTAATATAACGTTTATATTTACATAATAATATCGTATTCATTTATTTTTATAATAATGTCAAATTGTATTATAATTCTATTTTCGAAATACGAATAAGTTTAAAAACACATGAATTTAAATTTTAAATTCACGTGTTAAAGAAAACATATTTTATGTAGTATATAAAATATGTTACTTTTTATACAGTTTTTTTTTGTTGTGAATAATTTTTCTTTTTTTTATAATTAAGAGAAATTTGAAAGCTGAATTCAATTTTGATGTACTCTTTGATAGGCAAAATGTGAACATAGTAATTAGTGCAATTTTATTAAAATTCAGTGATGTGTGAATTTTGTTATTTTTACGAGTGTGTAGGTATAATTTGATTTAACAAAGAAAATCGGTGAAAAAACGTTGAATATGCTGTTGATAAAATACATAAATATCTGCAAACTAAATTTCAATCTTTTGTTATTTATTTAAATAAAAGGTCATACATATAGTATTCTTTTACAATATAAAAGTTTCACAAAAGAATTCAATTATTTTTAATAAAATTTCACCAAAGAATTCAAATATTTTCTACAATTTTAATAAATCCTTCTAAACAATTCAATTATTTGGAATAAAATTTCGCTAAAGAATTAAATTTTTTTCTTAAGGGCATTTGAACCATGATGACGTCACAGATTTAAAACTAATGCTTTGCACAAACTGTGACGTCATCAAGGTTCAAATCCCCTTAACGAATTAAATTCGTTATAAAATGTTTCAAAAGAATTCAATTATTTTCTAAAATTTTAATAAATCTTTTGCAAAAATTCAATTATTTTTATAAATATTAAAACTCTTTGCAGAAATTCAATTATTTTTAAAACAATTTTCATTAAATTTCTCAGAAGAATTCAATTTTAAAAAAAAAATTTAACACATTTCGAATAAATTCAATTATTTTTTAAAATCTTTAATAAAACCTTCGAAATAATTCAATATTTTTATAAATAGTAAAATTTTTTTTTAGGAATTCAATTATTTTCGAAACAATTTTAATTAAATTTCTCGGAAGAATTCAAATATTTTTAAATATTTCCAAAAAATTCAATTATTTCCTAAAATTTTTAAAAATTCTTCGAAACAATTCAACTAATTTTATAAATACTAAAATTCATTGCAGGCATTAAATTATTTTTAATTCAATGTAATTAAAATTACACGAAAGAATTTAATTAAAGTTTTCAATAATTTCCATAAAATTCAAGTTCAACAAGAATTTTAAATTCTCTAAAACTTATTCAATTATTCTCAAAATATTAAAACAGATTCTACATGAAAATTAAATTACTTTCAATGCAATTTTTAAACATATTCGTCGAAAAAATTGAAAGAATTCAATTATTTTCAAAAACTAATTAAATTATTTACTACAGAAATTCAATTATTTTCGAAAAAATAATTAAATTTCTCGAAAGAATTTT